AGTCGGCACCGGCCCCTCTCCCCCTACCATCTTGCATTGCCCTTCCCCGCTCCCCCGAGGAATCTTCCGCAGAGTTTTTCGGGGATTTTAGCGAGTATTGATACGTTGCATTTTCAGTTCAACGACCCGCCATAGCGGGTGGCCGCGGCGCATCACCGCGCGGCATGCCGCGTGGGGTGCGCGGGGGGTGATACGAAATGGGGTGCCGCGGCACCCCAACATACGATTAACCCGATGACTTCATGATGCCCTGACACTTACAACACGCAATTTCAAGTGCATCTCATGAAATTTTACTCTTTAGTACCATTTTCTTCGATCAAATGGCTCTCCTAAACACTCCTACAAGTCACTCTACACGCACGTTTGCGTTTGTTCAATTTAGGGCGCGAAATTTGAAAAAGCGCGGCAGGAAAAGTGGCAGTCCGCGTAAGTCGGTAACCCGCTTAACTCGGTAAATTTCCTCGGTCCCGATGAAAACCGACTTAGCGAGGTTTCACTGTACTCCGAAGATGGCGTAAGCCAAAAGATACCTCAGTGATTAATAAGTATTAAACACAACACCTTGGTTCTTATCACATACAAATCTTATTTTTCGTTGTTTCTCTGCACTCGTTATCAGTGCAAGAGTGAACAAAGTTCAGTAACAAAGGCAGGTAGAAACGAATTCAAATTGCTTCAAGAAAATTAAAGCCGAAAATGTTTTTTTTCTTCTTTATTTTTTGCTCTGTATTTTTAATGTGCAGACAATACTTAGTGTGAAATCTCTGAAATAACTGAAAGATTTCACCGTCCTTATCAAAGACCAGTATCCCTGGATAGGTGCAAAAATGATAGAATGAAAGTTCTCACAAAGTTTATAGGTAGCCTTAAAAGTATATTGCTAAAGCTTTCATAGAAACAGGGAGAATATCCTGGGGTGCCCTCATCCAAATCCCCACCAATCCATCCATACTAGTGAGACATGTGAACTCCTGAGTGTCTCGGAATGTTGTTCAATATCCGCAACATATATCCTGGCTCATATCGCTTTGATGTTTGTATACTTCGGTAGTGAAGATTTTTCCATGAGATTATAGAAAATTTAGATTGACTGGGACTGTTTTAGAAGTTGCACAATGCTGTTCCCCCCCCCTCCCCTATCCTATTACTTACTCCACTATTCACGGAGAGCCCAAATTTGAAATCAAAAAACAAAAACGCTTTCCGGCCAAAGTGGAAACAAAAAGGTAGATTTCGATTGATCAATTCAGTGAAAGTAGGTGTGCCTAATAAACCGAAAGAATCAGCAAATCAACTCCCCTTTGGATTTGGTTTCAGGCAAATAGGTCGGGCTGTTTTATCGGTTGTCGGTAAACTACCAAAACAGAAAAAATTAAGAAATAATTAAAATTAAGAAAAAATTAAGATAAGAGGTCTCTTACCAATAGCGATCTGAGTTTTCGGAGCTGAAGAAAATAAGCTGTTGCCATGCGTACATCTATTCTAAGCACTGCCACGCCAAGAAATCTGACAAACCGACACACAGAGCAACAATGAATTGAGCGCGAGCTCCCAGAACTCCGATAAGGCTGGCCGTTATCGATATCATCGCCACTGTCGGTACCGCCACCAGCATCGGTTTCAGACGATAGGGATAGCTTACCGGCAAGGATTTGTTTGAACACCCCTACAAATGGGTCGTTTTAGAGGGTGGGTGAATATAGGTTGCCTTGAAGGCATGAACAAAATGAGTCCAAGGAGGTATCAGCGGCCACGTTTGGACGAGTTAGAAAAATCAACCCCTAATGGCCTTGACACTTCTGAATTGAGGAATGAACCGATGTTCACCAAAAATGAAATTTGATGTAGATCACATTGAAGTGAAGATCCATGCTTAGTTTGGTTTTGTTCGTGTGAATAGTTTTGGGAAAAAACGGCTGTAAAGGTTCGTTAGATCTCAGTTATATATTTATGTATATACTACCTTTTTACTTGGGTAAATCCTTCAAGTCAGGGCTTCAGAATTGATGCTCCATGATCTTGCTTAAAAATTCCCGCAAATGACAAGGTCGCGCACCGTCTGCAGTAGGCAGATATTTCTTTGAATTCTACACAAAAGTTTTTTTGTGAATTACCTTTGATAACTTTTTCGTATTTCTGAATATTTTTATTTTTCTGTTTACAATTGATCTGAAATCAATTAATTGAAGAAATTTATTTCCATGCAAAAGGTAAATATGATGATTGTCGAGCTGAAATCAGATGCTTTAAAGGAGCGTCACTGGAAACAATTGATGAGGAAGCTGAGAGTTGAGTGGGTTCTGTCAGATCTCACACTAGGCCAAGTCTGGGATGTTGACCTTCAAATGAATGAGGCCATCCTTAAAGAAATCATCTTAACAGCTCAGGGAGAAATGGCTCTGGAAGAGTTCCTAAGACAGGTAATATCATTTCCCAAGAAACTTGTGTGTGCATGGAATGTACTGCACCTTCCATCAAATTTCCTTAAAAAAGAAAATAAATATTTTCCAAATATTTCTATTAACAATCGGAATGAATCTCATCAGGCTCAGTGGTTTTTCATGAAATAATATTAGCTCAAATTTTAAGGGAATAAGGAGCACCTAGTAGGAACAGTTTCCTGGAAAGCTTAATTATAAAGAGATTATACTAACCCCAACTGGCTCAAGGAAGCCCACACAGTCAGCCAAAGGACTCTCGTCTCCTGGACCATGCGAAAATTACAGTGATTGTGCGCTTGTCATGTGACTAACATCATCTTTAGTGTGGTCTACTGATGAGGTCTAAGAAGATCGAAACCAGTATAGATCTCTTAGTTTGACTCCAGCATAGTATTCCAATGCATACTGCTTGTGCCTCGGCTGAAAACTTTGCCTCCTCATTCTTTCTTAGAAACTCATTTGAAATCATTTCGGAACTCTAATGCTAAGTTTTGGTTTTTTTTTTTGCATTGACTTCCCTTTAAAATATTGTTGACTCAGCACTACTCCACCATCCTGTTATTTACATGCATGTTATTGTAATTAAATAAGCCTAAGTGTTCCTCTTTTAGCAGTATGATGTGACTGAAAAAGGTAATATTTGTTTAACAGCTTTTTGCTGCTTTCAAACTTTCAAAATTTCCTACTTGTTTGAACATCCTCTGAATCTTCATAGACCTTAGATGAAGAGCCATTGCTGCCATTGTTTTTAGTCAAGCGTATCTTTGAACATCCTTGTCAAAATATTTGTATCAAAACATGCAAAATTGTTTCATTAAGTAATTAATATTATTATGGATGCTCAAAAATTGCAAGTAATTATATGAAAAAGATATTGAAGGAGGAAGTGATCCAGACTGGAAAATTTGTTTGAAAATTAAGTATTCAGAAACTTGAAACCGACTTGCATCGTTTAATCTGTTCAATCAGAATAATTATTTTCACCAATTCTTGCTCAAACGATCAGCTTATTCACTCCATTCAGTGAAACAGAAAAAAAAATAGAAATGTACTCCAATTTTTTTTCTTTTTAAGGAAGGAAATATCAAGAAGTATTTGCATCACTCTCATTACAATCATAGTTTACAACATTTATGTTCACATATTTTCCAACTTACCGCAATATTTGATTGTGCAAATATCTGATCTACAGTGTCTTTCCCATTGAAAAAATTTAATTGAAGCGGATATTTTTCTTTCAGGTCAGAGAATCATGGCAAACTTACGAGCTGGATCTCATCAATTATCAAAGCAAGTGCCGTCTCATCAGGGGCTGGGATGATTTATTCAACAAAGTGAAGGAGCACATTAATTCTGTTGCAGCTATGAAGCTCTCACCCTATTATAAAGTAAATTTCTCTCATTTTTACCGGAGTATCTGTCTGCCAGTTTCGCCGGAGAAAAGCCAGAGAGCATGATGTGAAAGACAAACGTCTGGCTTTGAAACGTGTATTCACGAAAGAACAAAATAACACGATCATACTACTGAACAAAACTCAAAACGAGTGGCCAAAAAATGAAAAGAAACTAAATAGAAAAAGGACGAGCGGGTTTTTCCCTTCTTTGAATTCCTTCTTAATTCATTTCAGGCCTCAAATTCCTTGATAGCGACTGAAATTGCTGAAATTTTGTAACCAAAAATTCTATATCAGCGTCTCTCATCATGTATTGCATAGATTCTTTCAGATTTCTAGTCACAGAATGCAAATACTGTATTCATTATTCACCTGGCCTCTTGAAGAGTCCAAAATCCAAGATGGCGAAATTTCTCACCCTTAGGGTCAAACAGCTAGTTCTCTCAAGACCCAAAAAATGAACTTTGCGTCCTGACTGATTGATATGGAATTTTGGTTTGTTTACTACTGATGACATGAACAAGATTCGCTTCAATTTGATTCTGGAGATAGTTATAACCGCCCTATTGTTTTCTTGTATGAGGAGTAGAATAACATTCGACCTCATAGTTGCAGAAACCCGTCTTTGCTTCTGATCGTTGCTGGATATCATCCGGTCGGGCGCAAAACCGGAGCGTTTCAAATTTGCAGAAAAGTTACTCATTTTGAACTGCATAATTCTCGGTTCCAGAGTTACTTTATCACGGTTTCATTGAACGCACTGTGTTCTCTGTTCTATGCGTCATTTACCATAGAAGAAAGTGTGTTTGCAAGTAAAAACCTCACTCAAGGTTTAGTGACCCGTTGTGAAAACTGCAAATTCTGTACTTGTAACTCTATGTTGGAAAATCATGAGAGGCTCCCACAATTCCTCAAATTTTCAAAACTTTTTGACGTACTCCATGCTCTGCACGAATGTGGAAACTGCAAAAATCTTGTTTGTTAGCTATAAAATGAAAATTGTAGAAGCCTTCCACAAATTTAAGTGAATTAAGTAAAAAAATGATACAAAACTTCCTATGTTCGTTTCAGTTTCCACATTGCTCTGATTAATACTGCAAATTATCTATGTAACAATGACGCTTAATCAGAAAAATTTCATGTCACTTTAAGTTGAAGGGGTGGGAAAATAGGGGTTATTCTACATGAGGAAGCCATGTGTCATTCTGCTTAGTGCACATAACTTCACTAACTCTTTCGTTCTAAATCAAACCCTCCCATGCAATTGAATATTTATGCTGGTAAATTTTTACAGGTGTTTGAGGAAGAAGCTCTGACTTGGGAAGAAAAATTGAACCGTATTAATGCGCTATTCGACGTATGGATTGATGTTCAAAGGCGATGGGTCTATCTTGAGGGAATTTTCTCGGGGAGTGTGGACATCAAAGCTCTGTTACCCGTTGAAACTTCTCGTTTTCAGAATATCAGGTTAGTAATTGGTGCGATTTGTTCTCTAGTAACAAGTGCAAGAGGTAGAAAAAAAGCCCCGAAATACCGTTCTTTTTTAAGGTATGGCATATTTTGGACCAGTGGATTAGGAGTTTAACAAATTACTTGAAATTTCTCATTTATTATCTCTGCTTTTGGAACTGCCTAGATCAAACTGGTGCAGAGGTGTCATTATCCACCCTAGGCAATTGACAGCTCTCCCCCCCCTATTTTGACCCTCAAATGACTGTTCGCGGCTTTCCGGCTCGAGATACGGCCAAACTGTCAAAATTTTTGCCCTAAGAATTGTAAATCTGTAATCTCCATGAGAAAACGACCATACTTCAGCCGATTTACCAATTGTTAGACCTGCTTCCTTCAGGGCGCTCCAGAGACCCCTAAAACAAATTTTAATTTTTTTTACAAAAACATTCTTGATTTTTTTTCATATCCTAGCATACTTTGAGCTAACTGCACTTGAATTTTTCTCAACTTTCAAATTTAAGAAACACCCTATCTCTTGCTCTGCGCGACACCCAACCGCCAAAGTCCCCTATCCTCCGAAAGCCTTCCAGGGAGTTGGCACTCCCTCATTTCTTCTGAAATCCCCACCCCATTTATTACTACGAATATTAACTAATTTAAACATCTATAATTGCAATTATTAAATAATTTAAATATTTATTATCAGCAACTAGGGGGCTATGCCTCCTGCCCGCTATGCGACCCAACTCCCTGAGAGTGCTTCACGGACCCTTAATGGGTTAAACATCTAAATACAGTACCATACAGGCTCATCTAGAGACTTTTTCTCATCAGTAGCCCAAAGCGATTTTCCAAATTCTTAGGACTATCAAGGGATTCATTAAAAATGAAACCTAACCATGGGAAAGAAAAACATTTTATAAATAGAACTTCAGGAATCACAAAGAAAAATTAGTGAGATCACATGAGTTAGTAAAAAAGTATAAATAAAAGAAAGGGGAGGAAAAAGGAAAAGGATACCTAGCTGAAGCACACTTAACACAAAAGAGTGTGTCTCACAGTTGCAGAGAAAATCGGCTTAATTGTAAATGGCCAGAAGAGAAAGCGGAAAGAGGAAGTTAGGGAGGGTTTATGCTCAGAATTGAGTAGGCACAGAATGCTTAGAGAGGAATGATGCAATGGGAGGAGTAGCAGACACGCCGAGCGCTAGGCTCCAAGTGTTTCGCCAACCATTTTACCTAAAGTAGATGTTTAATAATTTAAGTATTTATTATTTCAAATATTGAAAAACTTGAACATTTATTATTATAAATATTAAATAACTTACAAATTATGTTACTTATCAATGAAATCCAGAATAATATCACAAAGGAATTTCTCACTACTTTAAGCTCTGCTCCCCCTACCCCCTCCCCCCTAAAAGATAAGAAATAAATGCAAGAAAGTGCATCTTTCAGCTTGTGCAGTACATGAATCTTTCTTAACTCAAATGATTAACCCTAAAAAAGTAAAATTTTTAAAGAGAGCAATAGTCTAAATCTGCCTGTACCTTGATCAAGCCTCTCCTCCATTTCTTTATAGCCCCTGATAACTTTGACAGAAGTTCCTCTTGGGACAGGAGTGCGGTAACAGAAGTGAGGCAAAAGCAGAATTTTCTCCTCTCCCTTTGAGGTATACTGGCCACATTGGAACCCCCCTTCCTCCCCGAAACTTTGAGTGAACCCTGAAGGATATTTTTTGAGTGGGCTTGGGCTCCCATGCTTTCTCACAATACTTAACTCTGCTTTCCTTTCTATTTCGTCCTCTAAATGTTTCCACTGTGGAGGTACGGAGACAAAAGAAGAATGGTGAAATGAAATATGAGGGGGGGGGGGGGGAAGGAGAAAAGAAAAATGGAAGGAGTTGATCTTGTGATGAAAACATATCATTGCAGGAAAACACTCAACACATCGGTAGATTCATACTTGGCTGCTCCCCCACCAAAGTCATCCCCCCAATTTCAAACCTGATGAGTTTTTCAACTGCAAACATGGCTCTTTACACCCCTGAATCAGTGACTATTTATCCTTATTTGTAGGATAAATCCTACGTTTGCGTAATTTTCTCCTAGATTTTTCCATTCTCATGAATTTCATGATTACCAAGAGATTTTTGGTGTGGAGTTTTACAGTATTTATTAAGAGTTTTCATCATTTTGTTATGCATTCTTGCAAACAAGTTTGCTAAAGGTGTAAACAGGGTGTGAAACATTATAAAAAAAAAGCAATGAAAAGTGATTGAACTGAACCCAGAAAAAATTTACCTTTTATTTTCTAATTTTACGGGCAACAATTTCAAAGAAAAAAATTAAGTTCTCTTGGTTAATGATTCTGGTATTGCAGGATCAATGGTAAAAAATCGCGAAAGCAGATAATCAGGAGGAACGATTTTTTGCAATTTCTTTTCGAGAGAATCTGATTCAAAAGGATTTCTGTGTACATACAATCTTGAAATAATTACGTCTGATAATGACTCAGTAATGTCTAGTATGACGATTCATAATATTCAAAATTGTAGAAACATTGGAAACCTCCTTGAATTTTTTACTTTCTAGTTTTAAATAATTGGTGATTCGCATTCGTGCCACCAGGGCATGAAGGGCTAAATTCAATTCAGAATGAAAAAGACAAGTTTTTGCCCTGCTCAATTTCTGAGAAAATTATTTAAATATTTAAAGATTTTTCATATTTGAAGGTCAAAAAGAAGATAATGCAAATAATATAAAATAATACAAGCTTTTTTATTTTACCCGACTAATGGTAAAAGCATTCAGATTTGACCCAATGAATCAAACACAACAAACATATCAATTATTCACTGGTCTAGTTTGGATCTAAACCACATTTTTTCCTTTCTTTTTTAGCTCTGATTTTTTGAATTTGATGAAAAAAGTGGCCAAATCCCCGAAAGTGATGGATGTTCTCAATATTCAAGGAGTTCAGCGTGCTCTTGAACGTTTAGCGGACTTGCTAGGCAAGATTCAAAAAGCCCTAGGCGAATATCTTGAAAGAGAAAGGACGTCTTTCCCAAGGTTTTACTTTGTTGGTGATGAAGATTTACTGGAAATCATTGGTAACAGTAAAAACATTGCACGGCTACAGAAACATTTTAAAAAAATGTTCGCAGGTGTTTCAGCCATTTTGCTGAATGATGACAGCACTGTTATAACTGGCATTGCATCTCGTGAAGGAGAAGAGGTAAGCTTTATTCCTCGTAAAGCTCTCAATTTTTTATCTGATATTAATTCACCTCTTCAAATGTACATTACTACACTATTGGTTAATTTTTTGTTTCGAGTATGTGAAGATTTTTAATAGATTCTTCATTGTGCTAAATTTATGGAGAGATGAATAAATACTCTTCAACATTCTTGCCAAGTTTGCCATCTAGTTCCCCATGAAAATGCTCTACAAATTGTATAAGGTAATAGATACATGGATGAAGCCAAAAATCACCGTAGTTAGCGAAGGAATGGTTTTAAATGCAGAAGCAACTTTATTGAAAACTATCAGAGTCTCATGAGATAGATCCTTTAGTGTTACATACATTTATATCAAGAATTTCTAGAATTTAATGCTCTCGTAATGAAGAACCTCAGTAAATGGCTGCCACCTTTTAACTTTTTACTTCGCCCTTGATTTTTTTAGGGTCATCTTTTTTCTTTTGTTTTTCCTCTGTTCGCATTTTTTTTCTATGGCTCCTTTTTTCTAATGTTGATCACTATTCTCTCGCTTTTTTAAGTTGGAAATATCTGTTTGGTTTCAATCATACTTTTTTAGTTTGTATAATTTGCCAATAAAATAGAATTAACAAGAAAGCAAGCTGTATACAAGCATACCAATACTGCGCACCATTATACAACATTTATGTTTTTGGGGTATTCAATAGGAAAAGAAGTAGAAAAATCCAGCTAATTGTTCTAATTCTATCCATGTTATCAATGAAACCAACGCTCTCTTGAATTTTGGAGAAATGATAGCCACACAAACTCTATTACATTCGAAAGCTACTCTTCATGTCACAGCCAAACTGACTGGAACCTTTTCCCTGTAGGGCTTCTACGGACATCATCTTGACTTTGTTGCCAATGTGCGTTTAAATGAGAGCACAAATTGCAGATGGCTGAACTTGTTTTTGGCAGCTTGATATCGTTCAAAAAATTCTGGGAAAATTCCTGTGAACTTTGTACACTTTCTATCGCTCAGTCAGAAAAAAGAAAACTTGCTCTTCATGTAATACTGAACTTGCAAAACTGCAAATTGCGAAATATAATAAATGAAACATGAAAAAGTGGGCAAAATCACCCCTAATGAAAGAAAGCGAAAGAAATTATCAAATAATGTCAATTTTCTACTCTAAACTAGTGAATTGGTAGGCAGGATTGCTTTAAAATAGTATCCAAGAGACTCAAAACTTTAAGAATCCGCCTTCCTCCCCCCTCCCTTCCCCCCTTCAAGCAAAATTTTCCAAGATATATGCAAAATAGCAGCTACTCTTTGGTCTGCAGGATTAAGAACATTCAAAGCTTGTACAGATTGTATATTGCCAAATGAATTTACCATAAATAAGGTTGTTCAGTAATTTTCAATTCTTGCACTTTTGAGAAGCACTTGAATATTCATTGCTCATATAATTCCGGACTTCATTACAGCTTCTCACTTGATCAGTAATTAGAAGTCTCATATTGAACAACTATGGTACATTTAATTGCGTTTGTTTTTTTAGGTCAAATTTTGCACCCCTGTTTCAACCACCAACAACCCGAAAATAAACGAGTGGCTGACTTGTGTTGAAAGAGAAATGCGAATTACACTTGCTTCATATCTAGCTCAAGCGGTTCAGGATATCAAACAATTCAAAGATGGTTCAATAGACCCTATTAAATTTATGCAATGGTGTGATAAGTATCAGGTAAAGTCTTAACTATTTGGATCATAATTATGGATTATTTCGGAAAAGGGGCATATACGCGTACGTGCCCTTTTTCCAGAAATGGCAGTAATGGATTCCTCGCATCATAATGTACCAATGTCCCTAGTTTCAGCTTAATTAATCAATTTTTGGAGCTAAGAGACTAAGTTTTGTGAGGCTAAGTGAGGGGTCACAGGCGTATTTCATCTATTTTCCTCTGGGTATGGTCTCCGCGACATTGGATAGCGTGCAGACATTCTCCCTAAAAACTTGATATTGCATCCACGAATTGATTGCAAAGATTGTGATCACAGATAAACGATGAGGGGACGACTATAAACTGAGAACTCTAACGAACAAAATCAATCCGAGTACAACACACAATGAACCATCTTATTGGAGGGAATTTGATGCCCTAACGGGTCAAAACTTTAACTATTAATCACATTTTGACAGCTTGGGAGCTTTTTAACATGAATCAGAAGGAGACAAAAACGACCATTGGCGAATAAACAATGGCCCAAGATGGAGTGGGGAGAGAGACCAGTAGCGCCAGTAGCTGCCACGCTATCACTAGTGCTGCTTGCCTGGGAACATAACAGTTGAGGGACCCAGGGTGTGACTTCTGTGACTTGCTTACAATGAATGACCTTGTTTCAGGCTCAAATTGTAGTGTTAGCAGCTCAAATTCTATGGAGCGAAGATGTGGAAGCAGCTCTTCACACAATTAGCAACAGCACCGCTAGTGGACAAGCCAAAATGCAACCATTAGAACTTGTCCTCTCTCAGGTTGAGTCAACACTCACTATTCTGGCCGATTCAGTACTCCAAGAGCAACCACCGTTACGACGTAGGAAACTTGAACACTTGGTAAGATTAATCTCTAAGGTTTTTAGGCCTTTGTGTGGTTTTTTTTTACCTTTTCGCCAACTTACTAAAGATAGAAAGATTTATCAGAAGACATTGTCATCTTGCTCAAATAGAAAACTGACTTTTTCAACGTTTGTATCAGTCATTCTCACCAAGAAGAGTTACTTCTGACACACTTAAATTACCATTTTAGCATTCTAATCGCTTTATACTGCATGGAAACGTAATGTAGTAAATGAAGACTCTGTATCTTGGCTCTGATCAGCAATCTGAACTTAATAAGTAATCCCCCATCATATTATCCGATGAAAGCAACAGACTCCATTAAGATAATGTAACTTAAATAGGCTTGAAAGTGAATGATGTTTCATTCTGAAAGTTACTTTTGAAGGATGGAATGCACATGCAGAGTTTCTATTCCCTGTAAAACCCACAGGACTGAATCTCAAAGAACTTCCACGGGGATTTTGGAGCCAGTCCTCCTCTCAGTGAGCCCAATATTTTGTAGACTAGGATTGTGTGATAGTGAACCTTGACGCAATTTTTACAAGCCAACTTGGTTAGTCAGAGTGAAATTCAATAAAATTGTTTTGCCTATGCAAGATTCCTTCAGGATCTTGGAGCAGGGTGTCAGCACCATCATTTAAGCAAAAAATCCAAGTATTCTGACCAGCTCTTTGAAAATAAAATCAATTTTTGTGTTTTTAAGGCGGAAAAAAGGCCATCAACTTTTTGACAGTTCCAATCCGAAGGACAAAATACAACAAGCATACCGATTTTGATGTGTTTTTTTTTAACAAGAAATGAATTGAGTGGGGTCCTGAATTGTCCAAGGCTCCATAAACTCAGTTACGACGTTTTTGACTGTTTTTTTGGCCCATGTTTTACTCAATTTAAGGGTAAGAAAAATTTGGTTGTCATAGGTGTTGATCTGTAGGTAATTTTGACCGAGGAATCTATTTTTTCTGATTTGCATTGCTTGGAGGCTTTGGGGGCCAAAAAGTTGCAGTTTTTATACATTTTTTATGGATATGATCAGTTATTGGTCATTAACAGCCCACTACTCAATTTAAGGTACTGATTCACAATGAACTCTTTGCATCATTCAACTCAGGGACACGAAATTCTAGAGTATTTATTTTTTTATTTTCATTCACACGTGCCAGAGAGCCCCAGATTGGAGCTATGGCACGAGTCAAAAGGTTGGGGCCTGGGATTATCTTTACATGGACCCTCCGGAGTGCAGGTGCACAGCCGGATTATCACGAGTTCAATCAGTCGTTGGTAAGTTGCTGATTAGTGCGTGTTATTGTGCTGTGATCATCGGATTTCGTTTTTCCTGAAGAAGAAGTTGAGAAGAGAGGGGTGAGAAGAGTTAGCGAGGAAGATCATCACAGGGGATGAGGTTTTGGTCTACGAGTACGATCCTGGGAGAAAAGTGCAATCGTCAGTTTGGATCGCACAAGGGACACCTCGCCCAATGAAAACTCAGAAGAATCGCAGCAATGTGAAAACAATGTTGACTGTCTTCTTCGATGATGAAGGTGTCGTCCATCATGAATACACTCCCCAAGGCTCTATTATCAATGAAGAAAGCTTTACCGAGAAATTTTACGTTGCTTAAGGGGCCTTCAAGAGCGTATTCATGATGGACAACACCCTCATGATCGAAGAAGACAGTTAACATTGTTTTCACATTGCTGCAACTCTTCCGAGTTTTTATCGGGCGAGGAGTCCCCCGTGCGATCCAAACTGACGATTGCACTTTTGTCCCAGGATCGTACTCGTAGACCAAAACCTCATCCCCTGTGATGATCTTTCTCACTGACTCTTCTAACCCCACTCTTCTCAACTTCTTCTTTAGGAAAAACGAAATCCGATGATCACAACACAATAACACGCACTAATCAGCAACTTACCAACGTCTGATTGAACTCGTAATAATCCAGCTGTGCACCTGCACTCCGGAGAGTCCATGCAAAGATAATCCCAGGCCCGAACTTCTTATTAACCGTTGATGGCGAGATAATCAACAATGTCCGGACAGACCATGTATTTTCAAAAAGCTAGACAGAATATTTGGATTTTTTGCTTAAATGATGGTGCTGACATCCTGCTAAAAGATCCTGAAGGAATCTTGTGTAAGCAAAGCAATTTTATCGAATTTCGCTCAGATGAGAACGGTGCAAAGGTAGCTTCTTTAGGCTGTCAGTGACCCAAGTCCCGGCAGAGTGGTTGAGTCACATGATAGATGTGTTTCAGTAGAGAGTTATTTTTTCAAAACACTGCACAGATAATACAGGGAAGAGGCTGGGATTTTGAAAAGTGAAAAAAAAAATAGAAACCCTGTCGAGACTCTTTAGGAGTTCCTTAATCTCTTTTACCTTGTGGTTAGTTGATTTTTAATCATTTTGAACTTGATTTTGTGGTTTTTGTTCTAAGTTTCCAACAGATTTGAGTTAGCAGAATTTATTTAGTTTCCAACAGATTTGAGTTAGGTATTTTAAGGAATGTTGTACAAAATCAGAGGATTAACACTAAGGAAGTCCATAAATCATTGGTTAGTTCTCATCTAGACTCTCTAATTTTCACTGGCTTCCAAGTCAAACCGTTGGTTTGTACACAATGACTTGACAAAGATATCATTATTGATTTCAGATAAACGAATTTGTCCACAAAAGGACGGTCACGCGTCGGCTGATCCACAATGGTGTTTCAAGTCCTCGTTCTTTTGAGTGGCTCTGTGAAATGCGATTTTACTTTGATCCACGCCAGAACGAAGTTTTGCGGCAATTAACAATTCACATGGCAAATGCCAAATTCTACTATGGATTTGAATATTTGGGTGTCCAGGATAGATTAGTTCAAACTCCTCTAACTGATAGATGTTACCTAACGATGACTCAAGCCCTGGAGGCAAGATTAGGAGGTTCTCCGTTTGGTAAGTTTACAAGAGGCTGCGCTACTTATGTAACTTAGTTCAGTAATATCCAGGTATTTTGTGTTCCCCGTTCCTTACATGGTCCCTCTCCACCTAAAGAGAAGCTTTCAGGCTAATTATTCAACAATTTTGCATTGCTTGAACATTATCATTCACTAATTTCCAAGTTAAATCTGCAGTTCAATTTTCCTTTCATCTCCTTAGCAATTCATTGTACACAGGGTGATGCCTTTCTGTCCACCTAAGTGTACTCAAGAAATGACTCAAGATGAATCTTTGAAAAACCAACATTTATAATCTAATTAGACCCCCTACCACTACAAAATATTTTTTTCGGCTCCCCAACACTCTCCATAAGGAGGATTTCAAAAGGGCCTAAGGTGGACCAAGAAATCACTTTTTTCTCCAGATGGAACCATCACGGGTGTGAATCAAAATTTCGACTAGAAATCAGGAAAATAATTGAGAAAACCTGAGAAAAAATGCAAACGTAGGTCTTTGTTATGAAGGTGTGTTCAACAATGCGATTTTACTTAAAATGCAAGAACCTATGCTAGAATGTCGCAATGAATTTTTAGCAAACTGTGGTATCATCCTAATTAAGTGCAGAAGAATAGACTGTTCAATACATTGATTCTAAGTAATTCTTTTGCTTAGAATTTTAATTTGAAGTCACAACTCACCTCCGATTTTTTTAATGATTCCACTCACAGGCCTCTTAAACTTGAAAATTGATTTTTCAATCTAATACACTGCTTATGAATAGAGAGATCCCATCATTCGGAAAATTCTGAGAAACAGGGGGTTTCTTCCCAAAATAGCACTTATAGGAGGCTGGTGGGGTGCTAAAAATACTTACATTTGTTTCCTGGGGGTTGAATTTAAGGATAAAAATGTTTGGCGCCGAAGTTCCATTTTTAATCATTTTCAAGATGTCGCTGTTGGACGGCTGATCTGAATTATCTTGTCTCTGTTAAAATCATCAAGCCATTGAAAATATGTTCACCCTTTCAAGGGGCTCTCTACAGGGTGTACCAAAAGTCCGTCCCACCCCTGCTAACTTTTGAACGAATTGAGCTAGGGTAATGAAACTTTGGGAATGTTCCTATCTCAAAGGGGACCATCTTTTGGGGGGGTCAAAATTTTGGTTCCCCCTCAGGGGGGGCGCGGGGGGCCCCCAACTTTTTTTTTTTCAAATGGCAACCCCTATCTTGTGATACCTCATTCGAAAGAGCATTAAAAACTAAGAATTTTGGCGCAAACCGCAGATCAATATCTTAATTTTTGACCGAGTTATGATAGGTCAAAGGTCAAATTTGACCTATTTTCAAAAAATCATAACTCCGGTTCAAATTATCGTAGAGAAAAAAATAAAACGGGAAAATTTACCAAATTGTGTCCGCTTTTAAGTAAAAATTGCAGAAATCACTTCGCTGTAATTTTAGGGGGGGGCTCGGACCCCCAAATACGTCAATTCAAAGGTCATTCAATTTTCCCGCGAAAAAAGGCAATTTCCCCTAGATTTGCCTCCACATTATCTCAGTAAGGTCAAAATTAGTTCAACATTACGTTGGCAAGTCCCCAAATTTCGGGAAAAGTTAAAAAAAAACGAAATTTAAACGGTCAAATTTAATCACCTTAAATTTCGTTTTTTTTTAACTTTTCCCGAAATTTGGGGACTTGCCAACGTAATGTTGAACTAATTTTGACCTTACTGAGATAATGTGGAGGCAAATCTAGGGGAAATTGCCTTTTTTCGCGGGAAAATTGAATGACCTTTGAATTGACGTATTTGGGGGTCCGAGCCCCCCCCTAAAATTACAGCGAAGTGATTTCTGCAATTTTTACTTAAAAGCGGACACAATTTGGTAAATTTTCCCGTTTTATTTTTTTCTCTACGATAATTTGAACCGGAGTTATGATTTTTTGAAAATAGGTCAAATTTGACCTTTGACCTATCATAACTCGGTCAAAAATTAAGATATTGATCTGCAGTTTGCGCCAAAATTCTTAGTTTTTAATGCTCTTTCGAATGAGGTATCACAAGATAGGGGTTGCCATTTGAAAAAAAAAAGTTGGGGGCCCCCCGCGCCCTCCCTGAGGGGGAACCAAAATTTTGACCCCCCCAAAAGATGGTCCCCTTTGAGATAGGAACATTCCCAAAGTTTCATTACCCTAGCTCAATTCGTTCAAAAGTTAGCAGGGGTGGGACAGACTTTTGGTACACCCTGTATAAATTATGTAACACGATTTCTCCGATTTTTTGACACGCACCACCCCTTGTAATGCAATCATAAAGCTGGTCTTGACACCTCCAAAATAATTACGTAAAATTTTCCTCGACAACCCCCCCCCCTTTTTTTTCTAAAAAACATAAGATAAATTTTCTCTCTGAAAACTGGCGGAGAGCATAGCTCCTGTCAATTAAAGACTCCGTATTTTAGGAACGAGAGGATAATAAGGAAAAAACTTGTGTATTACATGTAAGTAGAATGAAGGAGAAAGAAAAGATAAAATCTAGTATAACGTACAGCTATGTAACGCGGAGCTTAACATCCTCCCACCCTATGTCACAAAATTATGAAAACTCACTCACCTTGGCATTACATAGTTGATGGACAGCCCCCAACATACTTTCTCAAGACTTACCTTATTCTACTGCAATTATTCATGCCAATAGGTCAATTGCGCTGGTCATAGAATTGTGTTTTGATGCTTAGTTCTTATAGATCCGCTAAGAATTATAAGATTTGTTTGAGCTGCAAATCTCTAAGTTCAATTTTAACCAAGACATCACGCTTTGAAAAATTTGGTTTATGATGTCATTCATCACGATATTGACACCCTTGGTTTCTTCTACCTTGCTTTCGTCAGTGAGGGCGGCACACATTTGCACTGGTCACTCAATGCAAAACCTGGAAGAAACCAAAGGTGTCACTACCGCGGTGGATGACATCATAAACTGAATTTTTCAAAGCGCAATATCTCGGTTAATTTATTGAACGTCCAGATTTGCAGTTCAAACAGATTTTGTTATTCTTAGCCAATCTATATGAATCAAGCATCAAAACACGATTCTCTGACGGGCGCAACCGACCCATTGAAGACCTTTAGCAATCATATGTATATGAAATTCATCTTTATTTTTTTCAGGTCCTGCTGGTACAGGTAAAACAGAGTCTGTCAAAGCCCTTGGACATCAGCTCGGTCGATTTGTTCTTGTCTTTAATTGTGATGAAACATTCGATTTTCAAGCCATGGGCAGAATTTTTGTTGGATTGTGTCAGGTACAGGATTGTTTCCTCTCTACTTATCGTGACAGTGTAATAATTACTTTAGTTTGCTTGCTTGTTTGCCTATTTGTACTTTCACCGCTATAGATGATGGCCTCGGGGCCAAAATGCGTTCAGTTTTGTTATTTTTGAACATTTTTTAAAACTCGCATCTACTTGGTTCAATCACTTAACTGAATAACCTATCTTCAACAGGTTGGAGCCTGGGGTTGTTTTGATGAATTCAACCGTCTTGAAGAAAGAATGTTATCAGCTGTCTCGCAACAAGTTCAGACAATCCAAGAAACACTGAAGACTCAAATGGATGCCAACAAAGAAAATAGTAAGTTTGTATTCGGGACACTGAAGGTGATGATGAATGGATGATATTTGGTGATTTTGATCTGTTATCTCTTTAAATCTACATTACTTTTGACTGAATGTTGTTTTGAAGAGTTTAGATTTCTTGAGGCGCGTTCAGACGGTTTTCCAATGGTGGACGGTTGCCTGACCATCTCCCAAATATGCTGTATAGTGAGGATAGGGAGCGCTTTGGTGGAGGACTGGTCAAGCTTGATGTCAGGCGGCCTGACGAGCAACTTGGCATGCTGTCTAAACCCGCCTTTATATGAAAAATTTAGCCCCCAAAAATACCTTTTTTCTGTTGATATTGTGCGTTTTTTTCTCTTTTGTAAGCAGATCTTCTTTCCTCTAATCTGTGTTTCTTTCTTTTCGATTTGTCTTCCTATGAAATGATTATTCGTCTGGGATTTTTTGTATTTCCAGTTACTGTTGAGCTGGTTGGAAAACAAGTTCGAGTTTCACCAGACATGGCTATATTCATTACTATGAACCCTGGCTATGCGGGACGATCCAATCTTCCAGATAACCTCAAGAAGTTGTTCCGTTCTCTTGCAATGACGAAACCTGATCGACAACTGATTGCGGAAGTAATGCTTTTTTCACAAGGTTTTCGCTCTGCCGAGAAACTCGCTTGCAAAATTGTGCCATTTTTCAAGTTAGTATATCAATGAAACTTTCTTTGCAAATGAAAATGTGCAGCAGACTTTTTTTTTACAACGCTCACTGCATTAAAATTGATCCAATTGTTGACGAGAAGTTTACTTTTATCAGACATTTTTCCTGTCTTCAGTTGGTCTTGTGTTTACTAATGATTTTACATGATTCTTTACAAAAATAGTTCAGTCTACTGCAAATTATCTAAATCGCCAGTAATTCCCAGGAACAACTAGTTTATCCTGTTAGTGCAGAAGGTGATAGAAATGGCGTCTCATTTTGTAATGCAGTTAAGGTGTAATCTGGTTGAATATTGATAAAAAAAAATTCAGATCAAACTATGACACAAAGTGGCATCTAGTTGCAAAGAAATCTGACAAAGCAGGAATATTTTTCTGTTAGCAACATAGGTTTTGCTATAAGCAGGTTCATCGGACAGAGGAAAAAACTTACTAATTTAAACATTTGGAGAACTTCAAGAAATTTAAATTAAACAGCCAACCTCTTCTTATCTTGAATATGTGTGATTTTCAATAGAGGAGATCATGGTTTACTTTCGTTTTTAAAGTATTGACTAATTATTCAAACTGTTAGAAAATCATACATTTATTTATTTATTATGAGGAATTTTAAAGCTGGGGAGATAAGACTGAAAACAATAAAACAAAAAATTAGACGTTTCGCCGTATGTTTTGCTTCCCCAGGTTTAGAATTCATAATCATATATGGGCTTTATTTTAAATTTATTTATTCATCAAACATTTCTATGCATCTCACAGAATAATTTAATTCAAGCAACCATACCTCCATCATTTCCTTTGTCATCCATGCCTTCTTATCACACATCCTCAGTATTGTGGTATTTTTTATTTGCATATTTTACCAAACATCTAGGATTTTTTACATTTCCTGCGACCAAAAGTTTCTGAAGTTGGATAAAATTGTTTAATCCCAATGATGTTCATCAATGAAAAGGTAGGAAAGGAGAAGGTGGGCCTTTTTTTTACTGTATTAAAATCTTGACAGCAATTTGCCTTGCTGCTCTGCACACTAAGGTAAGTCGAAAATCAGTGTGACACCCTCCTCCACCTGGTTGCCAATTTCACAACATTATCTTTTGTTTGTGAGCATGTTTTCGGTTAAGTTCGCCAAAAAGCTTTCTGCTTTCATCTTACAGGTTTTGCTGTGGGCCGGATTTTTCACATGCATTTACCATAGCAAATCTAAGGGAACCACACAAAGTTTCCATTTAGGTCATTTCCCATCTATTATTGTTCCAGTCTTTTCATCTTAAAATCATCGTAGAGAAGAACTGGTAAAAAAATTATATAATAATCTATCCCTTTTCAGACTCTGTGATGAACAACTCTCAAACCAGTCACATTATGATTTTGGTCTAAGAGCTTTAAAATCTGTGCTAGTCTCGGCAGGTAATGTAAAACGCGATCGTATTCAAAGGATCAAAGAACACAAGAAAAATGCTGGTGATTTGAATATGGATGAAGCTTCAATAGCAGAAAATCTTCCTGAGCAAGAGGTAACTTAGTTTTTTAAGATCTGTAAAAGAGTATTTATCATTTTAAGAAATCTAATCAAAGATGTTTTATATTTTTAATGAAGAGAATTCAGTAAATACCAAGTCTACTAAATGTGAATTTTATCATAAATAGTTATTATCTCATTGCATTCACAAATTACATAGCTCCGACCATTAGTAATGCCTTTACCGTAAATTCAGCTGGGAGTTTCTGTATTTGTCCTCTCATAGAAAAGTAAGCATTATCTTTTCTTTTTCTCCACCTTCTTCTCTCATATTTCCCTTTATTTAAAGCTATTGAAACCACTTAAAACTATTCTTCACTAAAAATTGTTTTTCCTACTGCTGTTGCTGTTTTTATCTCCTCAATTTTACAATATTCAGTCAAGCCAAATGTATAAGTTCCACAATATTGAACTGCTAATTCTTTGTTTACATTGTAGATTCTAATTCAATCGGTGTGCGAGACAATGGTCCCTAAACTTGTGGCAGAAGATATACCCCTATTGTTCTCTTTACTCAATGATGTCTTCCCTCAGGTTAAATACACACGCGCAGAAATGTCAGGTATAAGTTTTTATTATTTATTTACTATAAGCTCTCGGGCCTCCTAAATTTTTATCTCTGGTAACGCTTAGTTCCAGCGTTCTACCGGGCCGATTTTCACGATTTTTGCGGCCACCGACAGGCAATTGTCTCTAAATAAGCCCGCTCTATTCAGATTTTGAAAAAATGACCCAGTTTCTTGTATGTTAAGTGGTAAAGATGCGAATTCTCTCATTTGAACAATGTAAATTTTATTTTTTGTCACAGTTCATTTAACCGTTCAGCTGGCCCAATTTTTATGATGAGTGAATTTGAGACGAGAATTTGACAAGAGATAGATGATTGTCCATAGATAAGCCTGCTTTAATAAGATTTTGGAAATAGGACCCAGGTTCTTTTACTATCATGCTATAAAAGTAAGCAAATTTGCATAATTCTCCCCAACTGCTGTCACTTTGCGCAGAAGGTTGTGCAGTGGCCGAGTGGCACATTAGCTCTTCTCTATGAACGCAAGATTCAAAATTCATGTGTTAGTTTTGGCTGTAGATGAATCGTCTGGGGTGTCAAGTGGTTCTCCTATTTGGCCCAAGGTGTGGGTTCAATTCTGGACGCCCGAAATAATCCACTATGACCCATTAGTCATCTGTCGTTGTTTTCGGCAATATTTCATTAATCGATCAAAGTTAAGTGCATCCTTTTGAAATCAGATTTGTTTTCGTTATTTAACACAAACAAAAATAATTTTTTTTAAAAAGCAATACATACCTCATATCGTAATTTTTTAGGGAAAAAAAACTAACATTGATGAAAAGCTTAAAAAAAGGGCGGTAAAGCGGCTTCTTGATGGCGCAGAGTGTTTTCAGGGGGTTGGGCTGCGCAGCGGCCAGAGAGCATAGCCCCCTAGTTTAAGTAATATTAATTGAGAATATTTTTCGAGCAGCCATCCAGGCTGATGCATTGGTTGATGGTGATAAGTACCCAACTACATATTCCGGTTTGCAACATTGCAAAATATGTGGTATTTTACCCCTCCAAAATACGCCTAATGGAAATTAGTTCGCATATTTTTGTTCCATTTTTTTTCATTATTTCAACAGTATTCTATGATAATTTTGAGCAAAAAATCCAGCAGTATTCTCTTAAAAAGTTTTAAAGTATTAAAGGAAATTTTCAAACACCTCAATCAAGATCCATGGCTTGGTAGTTTAATCATTAGCACGGATTAACCTGTAGCTTGTCGGGAAAATTTGAACCGTTTCATCTAGTAGCAGCAATTCACGGAGCTTGTTAGATAAAGATTTACTTTAAAAAAATGTATCTCTAAGCAGGAAAATATATGATTCGAAATTTTAATATCTTCTGATGTAAAAATATAAAACATGCAGATCTGATACGTAAAGTACATATAATCCCAAGATTGAACCGCAGAAAACCGCCACTATGTGGTATTTATCCAAAATTCTTCGTTTCTTTCGTTTTTCTCGATGCTTGTAGACGATTTGCAGTCTTAAGAATCAAACTGCATATTTTTCTCAATGTCCCAGAAGGATAATTCAAACTGTCAACCGAGAGAGGAAATCTTTTCACTTATTTACTGCTATCATTATCTGGGAAGAATCTATGCATTTGTCAGGAAATATGAAAATTACTGCTCATCTCAAAATGCCCATGCAGTCTTTTCAAATCTGTTCGATTAGAGCAGAGAGTGGGGAGTTCAAATCTCCATGTTGAGTAGTTAAGCGAATTTTCGCGATCGAATATCATTCATCCAATGAATCGATGAATGCTGAGTGATGCCGATGATCGGTGAAAGCAGGAGCCAATCAGAGTTCAGATTTTTTTTTAAATGAAATTAAAGAAGAAAATAAAAAAATACGAAACACCGAAACGCTGCAAATTGCAAACACAGCAGACTTGAATTGACAAAACACAACAACAGATAGAAGTGACAAAACAAAAAATCTGGTGAAAGATGAAGTTTCTGACATTGATTGCATCAATTCAAAAATCGAATTCAAGTCCCGAGGTGAATTCGAAATTTCAAATTGATGGATTTCACTGGTCTCCGGTGAGACCAACGAAGAAGTCGAATATCATTTTAAAAAAATGCACAATCGTCGAATATCATACAACGGTGAATGATATTCAATCGCGAAAGTTCGCTTGTTCTCTTTGTCTTTCATCGTTTGTTCCTCGCCTCCCCCCGTTTCTCTCACATACACCCTATCTCAGTGTAGTGGCGTGGCGCCTCTGCAGAATAAGCCCAAACCTAATTATGGATCACTAGACAAGGTACCAATTTAAGCATTCTGATGTATTTTTTCACCTCAAAATTTCTTGTAAAACACGATCTGCACAACAGAAAGCACCAAAATAAACTCCCAACCAAGACCTTAAAATTTTTTTTTTTTTTTCGGACTGGTAACGAAAAATATGAATTCATCGCTTACAAGAAAAATCAAAGTCTATGGGAATCAAATCACGCATTACTGCGGTTATGGCAGGCTTTTTCATCGAGCAGTCTTCCTTTGTTGTTCAAAGTGGAAATAATGTATAACAACTGAGACGAATTGCAAAAATTGAGGTTGCCATCTTTTTAATAGGGGAAACCTGCCAATGCCAGACAACCCTGTAGTGCACAGGCGTACATCGAAGCCACTGCGTAATTTTTGTTCTGTACTGTACTAATTTTTGGTGACAGATGTGTAGGAAGACAAGATTTGGTAAAACAATGTTATTTTGTTTTTTAACTTCATATTATTCCAAAACGGAACAAAAACCACAGTGTGACTGCAATGCATGCGCATCAAGGGGTCACCTTGCACTGGCAGACTTTCTCGATTTTTGGAGTGCGATCTGATGACCAGGCCATTTGCCCTTTGGATCCTTTGGTCTCCTAGTCCAATAACAATTATGGTAAAATGTTGTTAAGTAGTTTTCAGGGTCGCTAAGTTGTTTTAGATGTGACACTAGACTTCAGACATTAGTTCCGGAGACCAATTTTGGCGACAGAAAGTCCTTGTTAAAAGTCGTAGGCGGCTACGTGACACTCACTTTTCAAACCTCCATAACTTCTAAAATTTTCAACTGAATGAATTGATCTTGCTCACATTAGAAACCTAATAGGTTTATCTTTTAAACAAAATCAAGAAGAAGCCTCTACCTAGCTTACTTTTGAAGTTATATGTTGTATACTACTTTTGGAACAGCCTTTGCAATTTGATCAAAAGCTGAAAGTCTGCAAATCTCAGCTAGTGCCACGGTTATATTCATATTTTCTCTTTTGCTTAAAAACAGTTTTTGGAATTTCATTGGGTTTCCAAAGAAACAATGTATTTTGAGATTTTACTGATTTTGCAAGTAAATTACTGTTTCCCCTTACTTTTTCATGATCCAGAAAGTACTTTCTCATCTTCTGAACCTCAACTGAAATTTTTCCTCAAAATCATATGATATTAAGTTGACAATCTGAAAATTTCAAGCTTTTGGTCCAGTTCATTCAATCTGAGAAGAATTCATCCAATCTCCGAAGTTTTCAGCTCACTTTAAAATCTGATTGATCGAAACTTATCATAATTATCTTGTGATTTTGCGTTTTTCTTGATTTTGAAAGTTGCGAACAAGCAAAGCTTGTAACAACTGTATTTTGTTGTTTTCTTAAAAAACGCGCTTTGGATGCTAAGTACATATCTCAACTTTCAGCATCAGATTTGTTTCAGGACTATTCAGTAGATAGCAGATTAAATGAAGTTTTGTTGGGAAGGCAAAAAAATAATCCCAAGGCAATGGATCAGTGACTGTTCAAGTGTTCTTAATTTGCCCAAAAATCCTTAAAGTTTCCTTGGATTATCCATTTTTTATAAAAAAATATTGCGGGATTGTGTCATGCTGTCTGATTACTCTATCCAAATTTTATCTCAACTAAATGATTTTAAGTGCTACTGCCATGTATTTTTAGTTGCACGAGATCAAAAATTATTCATCATAACCCTGAAGTGGCCAGGAAATATTTTTTTTTATACATATATATACCATTTGGATAGTTGACAAGCTGAAAGAAGTAATTGGTTTCCACTATTTTTCAGGCTTGAAAGAGCAAATACGTAAGGTTTGCCAAGAAGAGTTCCTTGTGTGTGGGGAAGGAGATGAGCAAGGCACCCCTTGGATGGAAAAGGTGAGTCCGATGATTTTTCCCTGAACAGTCCAAGTGTTAAAATGGGCCTCTAGACAAGATTTGAATTTAAACACCATGTAACATTCTTCTCGTTAGAATTTCCAGAGGAAAACTTATCACACACCGGAAAGAATGATAATCAACTCTTAGACAAGATTTAAATGTTCACAATTACCATTGGTTAAGTGGCAAAAATCCAAATTAACTTCTATTTAGTCCATGCTAAAAATTCTTGTTACTATTTTGTTCAAGAGTTGACTCCCGCATTTTCTGTTCTGAGAATAGAAAACATGTAATGTTTTTTTCTGGTTTAAAACTTGTCTATTGGCCTTTTGACTTTTTTAATTAATATTCCTCTTAATACATTGATGGTCTATTAGAAACAACTCTTATTTTTGCTCTAGCAAAAGTTTGCAACAGGCCCATTATATAAATGACATCATTGTATCTTTGCCACTTCACCAGTGTTACTCACCAATACTTATGCCTTCTTCAGGTGTTCATTTCCGAACCTTTTGTTGAGTGAATAATTTTTCACATAAAACTCGCTCGAATATAGAACCAAAGATTTACACAGGTGAAGCTGCGCACTTGCACAGTCTCATAACCAGAGCCAACTAACTATTTTCTCAACTTCTAAGTCAATGAGTTGTACTTTTCTAATTGAACATAATGTTCCATGGTTTATCCATGTAATAACTCTTCAAGGCGCCTTTGGCTTAAGGAGGCCCTCGTCTCAACCGATTTCATCTCTTTAAATAACTTCCAGAAATTTAGAAAAGCCTCAGAGTCATGTATCATTAATCATGAATTAAAGCCATAAAGTTTGGTTCTTAACCTACTTGTGTGTACCCATTTAATAAGTCTCTTTTATTCAGGGACAATTTATTTCAGAGACCCAGCATTAACAATCTGAGCAAAGTAATCAGCTCCGGCAAAAGTTTAATTCAGAGATCAACACTACATTCTTGCTTCCTTCCTTCCTTCCTTCCTTCCTTCCTTCCTTCCTTCCTTCCTTCCTTCCTTCCTTCCTGTCATCCTTTTTCTTTCTTTTTTCCCCTTTTCCTTCTTTCTCTCATTTTTAAATGATTATTTAGCATTCAAGTTTATTTACTAATAAGACCCCATCAGACACAAGGTCTAACCATAGTGGCTGGTTTTATTATGTGACTTTTCTTTTTTCTGTGTGCACAAATTATTCCAAGAATCCCTAAATCATTATGTTAAATTCTATACAAAAAGAGCACAATAAAGAAATTCATTTATACTTTTCGCCTGAATGTAACTGATGAGAAACATGTTTACTACTTTTCGCTTAATGATGATTGATGAGAAACATGTTGAACAAAAAATCAAATAAACACACAATGATAACAAATGAATGTTGGAGACTTTGCTGATCAGGTGAGGATTGCTAAACCAATTGTTTAACCCTTTGGTCATCAGTTATGATCAGACAAATCTGAGTGGCGACTTCCAAAAGAAACTTCATACTTTAGGGAACAAAGCAGAGCATGGTTTCTAAAATTTATTGGATGGCGTTACGGTACCGTTGAATAAAACGTTAATCGGCGGTAGGGTACCGTTGGATAAAACGTTATTTGGTTGGAGGTGCCATGGAATACAACGTTATTCGGCGGTACGGTACCTTGACCAGAAAATCCTCTAAGTATCGCATAGGTGCCTTTACGGAATAATTTCATGACCGCTAACCGGAAAATTTCTTACCACTAAGGTGCCTTAACCGAACGACTTTTTTAACTGCTAACCAGAAAATTTTGTACCGCTAAGATGCCTTTACCAGATAACTTTTGAACTGCTAATCGGAAAATTTCCTCCAGGTAAGATGCTTCCACTGGATGAGCAAGCAAACACCATCTACAGTGATCTATTGTTGTTATCTGGAGAAATTATTTAAACTAGGAAATAAATCAATGACCCACCAGTACTCGCGTCTGAAACTGGCTTCTTATTTCCGGGCCTTCGTAAAAATTTCGCAACTTTTCCCTGATCTTTAGTGCTTTCGTCAAGTTGGTGACTGCATGTAATAGCAATGCACTATTCAAAAGTTTTTTAAGTGCATTAGTCTGCAGAAATTTTGAAGTGCTTGCGGAGAACAATTAGAGTTTATGTGAAAATCGAAGCACTGAATTACCTAAGAGCATTTACATTCAACCTGAGGTACCTAGCATTGTAATGTTGCCTGAAGCATGTATACTTACTGTTGACACCTTAGCCTTCCAGTAGGAAATTTTCTGGTCGGCGTTTCAAAAGTCATCGAGTAAAGGCACCTTCGCGTTAGTAAGTTTTAAGGTTAGTGGTTTAAAAGTCATGGTAGGAAATGTTCCGATTAGCCGTCATAAAGTTATTCGGTAAAGGCACCTTAGATACTTTTCAAGTCAGGGTACCATACCGCCAAATAACGTTTCATCTGACAGTACCGTACCGCGGAATAACCCCTTCCAAATTTATATTATTATTTTATTAATATTTTCTCTGACTTTATTGCTGATTCATGTTCCAAATGCGAAGCTACGTCGTGCTAGTCAGTAAACCTTTTACTACTACTCAAAGAGTGCTTTTTGAGATTTATCATATCAATCTTTTTCTTTTCTTTTTTAATTCGATTTATCATATTATATACGTATAATTACATCCAGGAGTGTCACCTGAAAAGAGTATATCCCGTTGTTCTTAACTGAAATCTTAATTACTATTTCTTATAATTTAGATTAACCTAAATTACATATCAACGGTGTCAGTCGGCAATCACATAACTCGATTTTTGGCGATTTTGAGTTAGCTGCAGAAATGAAGTGTAGTAGATGCCCTTTACCTGCTATCAAAATATTTCAGTCGAAAAAAATCTGGAAGTTAGCTCAAAACGTAGAACTCAAAACACATATCTCGGCATTAATTCCAATAACACATAACTCGTGCCGTCGCGCCGCATTTTTACACAACGCGCATTCTCCCGGGAAGAATCGTGAACAGTTTAGGAGGGAATATTAAAAGTTAGTACATCATGGAATCTTCAAACAACAAAAACATTATTATTGTTTTAACATCTAACATCTAATCCGAAGGATAACTGAGGAATTGCATCCGCTTATTTTTATCTTCATTCCATTTTAATTCGTAATTCGACGGCGTAAGTCCGCAATCACATTATTATCTCGTTCACGGTGTCTGAAAATCTCCGCTTCTATGTTATTTTTTTAAAAGATAACCAATTGACATCATTCCTTGAAGTTTATACAGAATTTTCTTCGCCAAAAGAAGAAAATTTACGGCAGTTTTAAAGAATTGCCGTTGAGTAGTTTTCCGTTTAAAAAACAAAGTACGACAGGAAGTCTGCAACGTCATTAACCGAGTCGATTGTCCTCCGGTGTTATTCTTAAGATTTGCTACCAATTAAAGTTTGTTAAAAGGAACTGTAGGCTACTTTTAAAGTGAGGGTAGTCTTATTTAGTCTTTATTCAGTTAACATCCGCAAAGAATAGTTTGAATCAGTAATTCGCCAACCATGTACCTCGGAATTCAGTGTTGGACCTTAGTTCCTTAAACACATAACTCGGTTTTTCGGTCATTTCTCCTGACAGACGAGAATATTATTCAAAATGATGATAGAGTCTTATAAAGTATCTTATCCTTGCTGTCTTCAACAATTATTTCCCCTCTACCCTCAAAAATGAGGAATGTAGAGAGTTTTTTCCCTTACCTGAAAAATCGCGTTTTCCGAGTTATGTGATTGCCGACTTACTCCGTCGATATGTAGATAACTCAAAGAAAACGAAGTCGACCAATACGAAATGAATACTGAGAGGGGTGTCTCTAATGTATTTGATTGCTACTTCTTAGATTTAGAAAAACCGATCAGGGAGAAAAACTAAATCTATTAATATAAAAAGATGTGAGGAATATATGACCTCATACTATGATCAAACAATTACAAAAACACAAAGAGAGATATTGCCCCGAAAAAACAAAGTAAGGAAGACGTAATCTAATCTGTGACATTGACACCACAGCCACGCACTATTGCAGAGAGGAGGGTCTCAACCACATTCATCATACGATTGATTTGCTCAGATTGCTTCTCTACGAGGTCCTATAGAGCCTTAATTCTTTTATCATAACTACTCTGATTAATAGGAATGATGGGGATCGGAACTACGGTTGACAGAGAATTGATCGAGTTTTTCGTTTTACTGCCTGTTGATAAAACTTGGGAATAAAGCCTACTCAGAGGTGCCAGATTTTGTGGGGCAACAGATTGATGATTAACCCTTAGATGACTAACCGTTGTTACCTACACTAATGCCTAACCCGGGTCTGCAAGGCCCGTATTGAGAATATATAGGGTTATCCGGGTTATCCAAAAGTCACCTACCACCCCTGTAACCTTTTTCCTAATTGAGATAGAAGTTTGAAACTTTGGGAATGTTCCTCGGTTTAAGGTAGCAACTTTTTGGTCCCCCCAAAATTTTGGGGGGCGAGGGCTAACTTTTTTTTTCAAATGGCAACCCCCTTTTGTGATACCTCATTCGAAAGATAATATAAAAAGAAAATATTTGGCGCAAACCGCAGGTTAAAATGTTGATTTTTGACAAAATGGCGGCCGGTCAAAGTTCAAAATGGCGGAAATTTGGCATCTCCGTTTTTTATTGGCGGATTGATCTGAAACTGAGAATCCTAGGGTTTTTCGGGACGAGAAAAACGATTCTGGCATTAGTTTTCCAGAAATGTCAGTCCTTTTCAAAATGGCGGCGGTTAAAATGGCGGCTTAGAGCGGGAAGTGGATATTTAGGCTGCTTATCGTCGGATTTGTATAAGACTTGGTATCCGGGGGTATTTCGGCACGAGAAGAACGAATCTTTCATTGGATTTTTGAAATTTTAAAAAACTCAAAAATGGCGGCGAAAAAATGACGGAAAATCCATATCACGGCTGTTTACCGATGGATTTTCACAAAAGTCAATACTCTGGTGGTTTCTGGCTCGAAACGAATTACTCTTTCATTACCCTTTTGAAACACTGAATATCGTCAAAATGGTGGCGGAAAAATAACGGAAAATCCGCATCTACCATCGCCATTCGCATTTTTGCCGCCATTTTAAAGTTTTTAAAAATTTCAAAAATCCAATGAAAGATTCGTTCTTCTCGTGCCGAAATACCCCTGGATACCAAGTCTTATACAAATCCGACGATAAGCAGCCTAAACATCCACTTCCTGCTCTAAGCCACCATTTTAACCGCCGCCATTTTGAAAAGGACTGACATTTCTGGAAAACTAATGCCAGAATCGCTTTTCTCGTCCCGAAAAACTCTAGGATTTTGAGTTTCGGAACAATCCGCCAATCTAAAACGGAGATGCTAAATTTCCGCCATTTTGAACTTTGACCGGCCGCCATTTTGTCAAAAATCAACATTTTGACCTGCGATTTGCGCCATAAATTTTCTTTTTTTTATTATCTTTCGAATGAAGTATCACAAAAGAGGGGTTGCCATTTGAAAAAAAAGTTAGCCCCTGCCCCCCTTAGGGAAGGCCGCCCCCCAAAATTTTGGGGGGACCAAACAGTTGCTACCTTAAACCGAGGAACATTCCCAAAGTTTCAAACTTCTATCTCAATTAGGAAAAAAGTTACAGGGGTGGTAGGTGACTTTTGGATAACCCTGAATGGTTATTTGACAGCTGGGGTGCTGTTTTCTCTAGAGGTGTTTTGAAGAATTTTATGATTTTCATACTTCATCTTCCATAACCAAGGTCCCAAAGTCTCTTTCCACCCATGAACTGCCCCCCTCCCCCTCTAAATCTCCCCCTCCTCTCCCCAGTCCCCAAACACCTAAAATTAACTCGTATAAACTCTTAGATTGTCAAAAAGTAAAAGTAGATTAAGAATAATGATTGCAGTAGTAAGGCGACGTACAAAACACGGACAAACGACAGACAGTATACTAAAGTAGGAAAATTTTTAGGAAAAACAAAACATAAAATAAATTACGGAAGGTCAAGATAATCAGACTAATTATTTACTTATTTTTCTTATAATTTTAGGTGCTTTCTGTGATACGGTGAATATGTAAAGGCGTTACTTTTTAGTTGTAAGAAAATAACGCATGGTGCTTTGACAGTTTTTAGACAGTATATTATCTTAATGACCACTTCTCAGCCACAACAATCACAGGAAAACCTCAGGAAAGCCATTGAAAACTTTACAAGAAATTTTGTTCCGCGTCTATCTAATAGTTCACTGTACTATCCAAAATTTGCTCTAACTTGTCGAGAAATTTAAAATAATGTAAAAGTATTCAAAAAGAACAACAATAAATTTTAGACTTTTCTTTTCTTTTCACAAAATTAAAAGAAATAAACCTACTAAGTGCAAAACTCTGAAAGAAACAAATCGGAAAGTACTAATTTTTTTGGCTACTGGAAGGGGGAAAGGGGGTAGGGGTGAGTTAGGTTGCCCCGTCCCTCTCAAATTCAAGTATACTTTTAGGAGTAATAATGTTTCTTCAATGTAACTTCTGAAAATCTCAAAAAAGATACACAGATGTGTTTATAATAAGAGGCTCCTATATCTGAGGGGACTGGGGAAAGGAGGGGGAGATTAAGAGGGGGAGGGGGGCAGTTCATGGGTGGAAAGAGACTTTGGGACCTTGGTTATGGAAGGCGAAGTATGAAAATCATAAAATTCTTCACAACACAGAGAGCAAAGCATCGCAACTATCAAATAACCATATATTCTCAATATGGGCCTTGCAGACCTGGGTTAGTCATTCTAGGGGTAGACGAAAAAAAAATGGATCTTTTGCCCTAGCCCCCCCAAATTTTAGCGTACCCCAAAATCGTTTGACGTGCATAAGGAGACCATAGATATGGTGCTCTGTGCAAATTTTGAATGAAATCGAACTGATAGATTCTGAAATATCGCTGTACACAGATTTGGGGGACGCTGGACGGACGGACGGACGGACACATTTTTTCAAGTATGGTTATTTTGACTCCTGGGACCTTAAAACGTCTAGAATACATGAAATTTCAACTTTTTTTTCCCCTTGCAGGATGACAATACTTCCTCTACCCTAGGGGAGCGAGAAAGTAAAAAATGGCTGTGCCTAAAAAAAAAAATTTCAAAAAAATTTTTTCTCCAAGGATTATGTTATTAAGGGTTTTTGTAGAGCTATTTGTGAAGGACAGACTTCTCGGACAATTACATCTGCCGTGGCGCGAAAAACAAGAAACCGCCGGGCCTTGTAGACCCGGTTCGTCATCTGAGGGTTAACAAATTGGGTCTTGGGTACAGGCTTACCCACTCGTTTCTTTCGTATCTGACAATAAGTCTTACAGCCCTTGTAATTTCCAAAGTTCATCCCTCCGCAGAGAGCACATGTTGGAATTACAGGGGTGTTTTCTGCCTGGCATTTAGAAGGCTGCGGACAGCGTTTTTCCTATTTTGGAGGCCTTCGAGGGCTCCGATCACTCATTTCGGTGTCACCTCTAGTTGGCACAAATTGATAAATCACATTTTGTGGTAAACTTGACACAGCAGTAGGAGAAAAAGTTGCGAGGAGCACGTCCTATCGCCTCCGCATTTCAAGGTGGACTCCATCTTATTAATCTTGCACTTAATTAAAATAATTTTCTTTTGCATTTTCTTTCACTCATGCTTACTCACTAGTCGTATATGGGAGAAACATGGATTGAAAAGGTAATGGATCTTCATACTAAATGTGTTCTCAGCAAGCAGAGTTCCATAGCAGCAGGCACCCTTTAATTTTTTCTAGTGCTGAATCATTTTCAATATCAAATCATTTTGAATAATCTCGTATATATTTATGACCCTCTTTGGTCACTGTGGAGTATAGTATATTTAATTGTAATAAAATGGGCAAGACACAAAAGATGGATTGGGTCGTAATTTTGTAGTCTTATAGTTTGTGATGCTTTTTTAGACGTAGTTTTGTGTGATGTCGGTTAACTTCCTCGCTGTAGATCATAAACAGGCCCAAAACTGACTTCGATATGTGTAAAAAGCGTAATAAAAGATTATTCTCTTCCTTTATCATTTCAGAAAATATACACTGTGATTTATCAAGGATAAACCTGCCATTGTGAAGGTACAAGTCTTCTTGTGTCAATGTATCACATATGTTCTCCCCAGTAATGGCAGAAACAGAAGCCTATGGTAGCTGTTGAGACTTGGCAACAGCTGACTCAGTAGTAATAAAGTAATAATAGTAAATAAAGCAATATCAATTCAGAATGAGGGAAAAAATCCCTTCAATTCTCAAATTAATGACCATCATTATGTATTCGTTTTTCCATTATTTATAGCATGTATGAGTGAGAGGCCCAAGGAGGCTCACTTTGAAATGCTCCAATCAAGCTGAATTTTTTTCTTTTTGTAGTCAGGTGGAACAGGTTTAGGGGTGGGAGCGATAAAAATCTGCCATCGACCTAGATGAGCCACCCTACAGCACCAGGCATGCAGAATTACCACCACTTTTTCTGGCGAGTGCTGTTCTCTCTAATTCTGATGCAGTTCGTGAAAAAAATGTAAATGCCACCATTTTCCATGAGATTCTTTCTGTTTGCAAATTGGCTTGCAAAACTTCCCTTAAAAGTTTGAAGTTGTCCTTTTTGTGGCCTTTTCTGACTATCTACTTTAAGTGAATGTAATCAGGTTTTTAGTAGATTTGTTGTTGGTTGGAGGGATGTAAATATTAACTGTACTACCTCAGATGGTGTCATGTAACTCTGTTCCATTTTGTTTAGGTTTTGCAACTGTACCAAATTTGCAATTTGAATCATGGTTTGATGATGGTCGGTCCAAGTGGATCTGGAAAATCAACGGCATGGCGAGTTCTGCTGCGTTCCCTTGAAAGATACGAGGGCATAGAAGGAGTCGCTCATGTCATTGACCCTAAAGCTATCTCCAAAGAAGCACTCTATGGTGTTTTGGATCCCAACACACGGGAGTGGACAGATGGGCTTTTTACACATATTTTAAGGTAGCATTTTAATCCAGAGCAATAGTGTTCTACATTAAGTGTAAGTGTATCAAAAGTGAAACGAAGAACAAGTTAAAAGAAGAAAAAAAAATCTTTTGATTTATGACGTGAATAAGTGGAAGTCCACTGAAAGGAAAAGATGTAAATTTTAGGATATCAATTTATTTATTTACATTATTAACGGGCAGAGCCCAATAACAAATGAATTAGACGAAAGAATAACAAGAAGGCAAGGAGGTTAAAAAAAACATTAGAACAGACTGAAATCATCCTTATTAGCTCGGCTAAATTGAGAAATGGATACATGAAAAATATCAATCTAGGAAAGCAGAGAATTACCAAAACCGGATAGATGGCATACAACTGACTTATGATCATAGTTTCTATGCGATAGATTAAGGTGGAAAGTATTCTGAGAATTCCTTGTATTTCTACTAGGAGCCCTGATATTAAATATGGACAAAATCTCAGGGCAGTCTATTATGTCACTAAAAATTTTGAAAAGCAGAAGTATTTCGTTATTCTTCAATAGTTCAGAGATGTTAAATAAATTAAACTAACAGAAGAGGGTTAATTATGATCAAAAAAGCTCATCGGCTTATTAATTCTTATACATAGGGTGTCCCAAAAGTACTGCCCCTTTTTCCGCAGAGGGCGAAAGAATGCAGATATCAAAATGCAGTTTGTGTGAGGTTATAGTCCTAGTAATTACCTATAAAACAAGACCAAGTTGAGCTCTGTAGCTTAAAATTTGACCGAGATGCAGCATTTTGAAAATGACGTGTCAAGGTGGCGCCTACAGGATTTTCAACATTTTTTACGAAAGAAAAAACCAAGTTTAAGAATGAAACGGTTTTAAAAAGAAAAAGAAGCGGCCAGAAACATATGGCAACACTGTGTTTTAGGCGGCATTTGGCAACGCGTAAGCGCCCCTATGCAGACCAACGACAGGATTAAACGTGTCTGCTAGTGCCATCCAAGTTGGTCAAGCTTTCCCGTCACGTCAGTCAGAGTTCATCCCTCTGTCGTTTTGGAAGTTTCTTTCGCGATGAGTACCGAATTAAGAAAAGAACAACACCACGTTATTCGTTATTGTTTTCGTCGAGGAATGTCAGTAAAAGACACTTTTAATGAAATGAAAGGCGTGTATAAAGACGACTGTTTGGACAGAAGTAACATTGGTCGTTGGTTTAAATCTTTTTCTGGCGGCCGCGAATCGGCGGAAAGTCTCGCGAAATGGGAAGAACGGATGCGACGCTGCATACAAAGTGAAGGAAGATACTTTGAGAAGGAAGGAAAAGCTGAGTCATCTGATGAAGAAGTGTAAATTTTGTCTACCTCGGTAAGAATCTGTAAACTCATTCTTAATAAAACCGTTTCATTCTTAAACTTGGTTTTTTCTTTCGTAAAAAAATGTTGAAAATCCTGTTGGCGCCACCTTGACATGTCATTTTCAAAATGCTGTATCTCGGTCAAATTTTAAGCTACAGAGCTCAACTTGGTCTTGTTTTATAGGTAATTACTAGGACTATAACCTCACACAAACCGCATTTTGATATCTGCTTTCTTTCGCCCTCTGGGAAAAAAGGGGCAGTACTTTTGAGACACCCTATGTAGAATAGAAGATATAGAAGATTTAGTAAAATTCATAGTATCTAATAGACTGACCTAAAACCAAATTGAGAGAATACCAAAATTAAAGGCAATACTTTAATAATTAATGAAATAAAAATTAGACGAACAATTAAAATACATTTTATAGGTTCCTATAATTAAGATATTCTATGGTGTGATTTTAAGAAGTACAATAAATCACTACTATTAAAATAGTAGGTTTAGTTCGTATATCTTTTATCATAATTTTAAAGTCTATTTAAAATATTGATTTTGTAATTCAAAGGAAATATTTTGTCTAAAATATCAGTTAATAGATCTTTATTCCTAATTTCCAAAATTAGTATTCCCACGAGTTCAAATCATTTACTGGTTGAAGTATTTTTTGTTCGAGTGATAAGAAATGACATTGCTTTGCCCTGTAGCCTTTGGATCGTGCAGTGGAATGCAAACACTTTCATATAAGCCTAAAATGAAGATACTCGAATGAAGATAATCGATTTTTGTGTTTTTGGAGGATAAAATGGTGTCATCAACTTTTTGACCGTTTCAATCTAAAGAAATAAATACAATTTACAACTAAATGTCTGTAGACAGAAAGAAAGGGATGGTAGAAACTTAGTTTTCAATTAAAATGGTGAATTGGAGACATGTTGATCTACAAAAAGGTCATTATCCGTCAATAAAATAAAATTAAGAAGAACCCAAGCAACAGTCAACTAATGAAAGAGGAAAAACCGGCGCTCTGCGCCGGTTTTTGGGAGGGCTTCGGCCCCCCCAGGACACGCGCTTCGCGCGTATCTTTTCAGGGTCGTCTGCACATCTAGTTTTTCTTCTTTTTAAGTGTCCCGCGCATCCACCGCGGGAAGGAAGTGTATTTCCCGAAGTGGGATTTTTGTAGACATAAAATCGTACGTCTGTAAGTCATTTGTGTAAACTATAGTTTTTTCCAGATATTTCCTTTCCTTGGGCTGCTGTGCCACGAACAGTTCTTCCAAAAACTTTCTTGACCTGACCCACTGTGCGACGCGCAGTTTGTCCAAAGTCTTCCTTCCCCTGAATAGTGGGGCCGATAAGCATAACAATCGTGCACTTCTGGAAGAAAGCATGAAAATTTCAGGGATTCATCTCTACCCTATAGACATTCGATTCAGACATAGACCCCAAAAATTTGAGTCCCCTGGGGGGGCAGGGGGGCCCCCAAATTTTGAATTTTGAATAACTCCTGAACGGCTAATGTTAGCGTAATTTTTTTTAAGCAGGACGATAGGAAATTTTATCAGGAACAATAATGGTTCTTATAAATTTTTCTGTGGGATCGATATTTAAGGCGTGAAACGGGAAAAACCATCGGGGGACGGGGAGCCGGCCGTTCTGAGGCAGATCCGCGCGCTGCGCTGTTTGCCCGGGACGCGCGCGGCGGCGCAGTACGGTGTTACCGACGAAACAGCCGCTTGTCTTGGTTTAATCTCAACGATGCGCAGTTTTAAAAGTATTGTGAATATATCATACTACCTATAAAGCCTTAAAATAGGGCTTAACTTATGCAGGTAATATATGTATACAAGCGAGCGCACGGCAACAGAAAGAGAAGGGGTTAAGTGCTGGAGTTCCGAATTGTTTTGTCGTATGGGTTTGTCAAGTTTTATTACAGCATCCGAGATAACTTCATCAGACATCAGTTGAACGGAACAATATCTGAGGCACAGTTGTCTCGGGAAGGGGGGGGGGGCTAAAAGTCACAAATCTTTTTTGTGTACCACGATGACCTGAAAAATGATTTTAAAGTGTTTTTCTTTCTCTTTCTCTCGGTGCTGCGACATCAGGATGGTATCTAAATATGCTTACTTAAGACAGGGAGCCTAATTTTTTAAACAATGAGCATACATAAAAACATGCTTGCTTATTCTCCTCTCTTTCAGGAACATTTTGGTACATCATTGCTACGTATAGGCATTTTTTTAAGAGGACCAAAACCACCTTCAAAACTTGCTCCAAAAAAACGGCAAAAGAATCTTGAGAAAGCTTGATAGGGATAAATGACCCCCAAAAAACCTTTGTTGGACTGCTTCTTGTACAGTACAAAGAATATTATTAAGTAATAACTAGTCGCCGTATCCGCTAATCTGTCAAAACGGTCCATTTGAGTGATAGGTTGTCGCGCCTAAGTACTGGGAACCTATCCTGCTCTTATGTCAGCGCATCATAGGTACGATATTCCGCAATCTCGGTAATTTTGCAACTTATTACTGATTGCTAATTTTGACTGATTTTTTGATATTTTGACGATAAATTAACCTTTTGACAATCTCTAAAGCTAATTCGATCAGTGTTATAATGTACGATAAAGTTTAAGGTGTACGTTTTGTGCATTGTATATTTTGCAAGTCCCGTTTCTTGAAAATTGTCTCCGACATACTTACCTAGAACTCTTCCATGAGCTCCATACAAATCAAAAATCGGTACGAGATTTGCGGATTGAAAAAGAAGAAATGCAATGAATTTCTTCCTGAGGCCTGGTCCTTCTCAGAGGTTCTTTAAAGAATCAGAACCTGCATGATAAATAAATTTCCTCCTATATTAATATTTTTTTCAAAACAAATGTTACCAACTCCACTCTAAATTCCATACAACAAAATGTAAGATAATATACATAGATTTTTTTTACTGCTCATTCCATTTTCTATGTGTCGTGGTAAGTACCAATAATATCTTGAAGGATGACTCGGTAAAAAGAGGCGATAGTATTCAGATACCTTCTTTTTTATCATTTATTTAATGTATTGTTCTATTTTTTTTTGAATATGCATATTTGTTGAATAACTGAAAAAATAGGGAGTATTCATGAAAATGAAAACTTCTATTGACTGGCTGGAGGGAAAAAGAGGAGAAAAGAACATTGTCGGAATGTTCCGTATGAATCAGTACCTATGCAATTGCGAGAAACCAATGAACATGAACGAAAAACGATATTTCCTTCATTTTGAAGGAAATCTGGTAACCTTATAGTGGCGAAGGGACTGTTGAGCCCCCTCCCCTCCCTCCACACTTCTCAATTAATATCTCTACCAAGTTTTGCAAAATTCATGGTTATGTAAGCAGCTCATTGTCTCATTCGCCGAAATTAACATGAAAAATAAGATAAAAAAAAAAAAAATAAGTTACGAAGGATCCGCCATTTCCAACAGTCATGAAAAAGTGGGTCAAAATCGTATTAAAACTTGTTATTTCGCTCTAATATCTAGAAAAAATGTAATCCTGCACAAAACTTACGTGAGGAAAGGGTAATTTACTCTGTATTGAGGTCGGAAAAGCTCTGCATTTAGAGAAAACAAGACGCGTGATGCGCGATGACCGATCCCTCCTATTGACTCGCCGCTCTCACATTGGAGTATTTCGCTTTTGCTTGTTTTTAAATATTACTAGTAAAAAGTAGAGCTTATATTACTGAGGAAAAGTATTTAGGCAGTACGGTAAATTCATTATTATTTTTAAAACTGCGCATCGTTGAGATTAAACCAAGACAAGCGGCTGTTTCGTCGGTAACACCGTACTGCGCCGCCGCGCGCGTCCCGGGCAAACAGCGCAGCGCGCGGATCTGCCTCAGAACGGCCGGCTCCCCGTCCCCCGATGGTTTTTCCCGTTTCACGCCTTAAATATCGATCCCACAGAAAAATTTATAAGAACCATTATTGTTCCTGATAAAATTTCCTATCGTCCTGCTTAAAAAAAATTACGCTAACATTAGCCGTTCAGGAGTTATTCAAAATTCAAAATTTGGGGGCCCCCCTGCCCCCCCAGGGGACTCAAATTTTTGGGGTCTATGTCTGAATCGAATGTCTATAGGGTAGAGATAAATCCCTGAAATTTTCATGCTTTCTTCCAGAAGTGCACGATTCTTATGATATTTTCCACTTATCGGCCCCACTAGAACCACTGAGCGACGAAAAACTTGTTCAAAAACTTCTTCCCCCTGACCCACTGTGCGACGAAAATTTTGTCCAAAAACTTCCTCCCCCTGACCCACTGTGCGACAAAAATTCTTTCCAAAAACTTCCTCCCCCTGACCCACTGTGCGACAAAAATTCTTTCCAAAAACTTCCTCCCCCTGACCCACTGTGCGACAAAAATTTTGTCCAAAAACTTCTTCCCCCAGACCCATTGTGCGACGATCAGCTTGTCCAAAAACTTTCTCCCCCGACCCACTGTGCGGCCCTGCTCTGGCCGCCTCCCCTCATGCCGCGTACCCCTCGCCTAAAACTTTCAAAGCTCGCCATTTTTAAACGGCTCGGCCGATTTAGCTCAAATTCAATACGAAACTGGTCCTAGGGGAGAACTGCCATCCGTAAAAATTTCAGCTCAAAATGTTCATTTCTGCTCGAGTTATCGAGTGGACAAGATTTGACCTTCCCCCACTTTTGAGCCCCACCCCTCAAAATCTATTGCCTCAAATTTCAATTTTTTTTCGCAAAATAGTAATTCTAATGAGTCTCTACTAAATGCAAAAAAATTGGTCAGAATATCTTTCAATGTAAGAAAGATATAACTTCTCAAAAATCGAAAAATCTTAAAAAGGCGGAAATACATACATATATATAAACACATGAATTTGAATGGCGTATATTTTCGTGATCTACGACCCGTGATCAGTGCTCTTCACAAGGTCTCGGGTCTGGGTCCGACATCATGGGAGAATGCAATAGTGTATTTTCTTCGGAAAATATACTAAAAACAGGGAATGAAATTAGAAATAAAAATTAAGAGGAAGGCTTTGAACTCTCTAGAAGAAGAAACTAATCGTTAGTAAAAAAGAGGGAGAAGATTTCAGTCATTGTATGCAAGTTTCTGCATGTCAACTCCTTTTCACTTCACTACACTGCAAGGACTGAAACCTGCTGCTTGGTGTCTGACCTGTCCCCTAAAAAACTGGCAGTCAACGAGTTCAAATTTTGGTATATCATCTGCATCGGCATCAATCACTGACTTAGAGTTTCAATAATTTCCAAAATTTTTTGGAAAAGATCTTTTTTTCTTTGTACAAAATCTTGACAGTATCAAAGTCAACCTAGTGGCCTTCTTAATTAATTTTTAATAGATCCTTAGAGCTTAGAAGATCTCCTCCTGAAATTTTTAAAATGTACTTAGAAATCTGAAAACCGAAAAATCGAAAATATAAAGCGAAATCGACAATTGTCCACATTTAACGGGAAATCGCGCGGAATCCGCAAAATCCGTACATTATCGTGAAATTCACGCATATACGCGTCTAGGACGAAATTTCCCGCGCTTTTTTTTCTAAATAAAGAAATCAGCATCAGCAACAGTTATTTTTTAATCATGAAAAAATTAATATTCCTGAGGTGCTTCTGTAAAATAGGACTAAAGAGAGAGTGACTGAAGGATGGCTCGTTAAATCAAATTAAAAGCTTTACTCTAAGCTGTCAAAAGCAAAAAGCAATACAAAAATAACGGCGAAATCAGCAAAAATAACAGCGGAATCTGGGATAAATGACAGGGAAATTGGGAAAAAATAACATAAACATTTTCAGATCTCTAAAGATCCTCCTATCAGAAGTGAAAAGCTACATTTTTAATTTGATTCTAGAAAGGTATACCAATGTCTCAGCGTAGTCTACCTAAAATTCCATTTTTCAAGTTGTCAGATACCCATAGCAATTTGAGGACTCCTTTTTCTTTTCAGGAAGATCATTGACAATGTCAGGGGTGAAATTAACAAACGTCAGTGGATTATATTTGATGGTGATGTTGACCCTGAATGGGTTGAAAATCTGAATTCTGTGCTGGACGACAACAAGCTGCTAACACTTCCCAATGGAGAACGCCTGTCTTTACCACCCAATGTTAGGGTGATGTTCGAGGTTCGATTTATATTTCTATTTTATTGCTTTCTATGATGATCAGCTTTGGTGTAATGTTTTTCTAACTCTTGCACTCAGGTGCGGCACTTGCGGCAGGCGTGAATAATATTTCTCTGGCTCATTTTTAGTTGATAAATGCTCTTTAGAAAGGAGAAAAGATCCAATCTCACTCTCTGCTAGGTATTAAGGCTGATTTAAAAGGGGAGACGTTGCATGTCTCTGTTTTATTAAAAAATCATGGTTGCTTGTGCTACTCCACTTGGTTCAATAGGCTGATCCTAATTTTAGGTCGGAAGTTAAACCTATGATTATTTCTAAGTCAAGAAGCTTGTGAGCGTGATGAGCTTGTAAGCTGAGGAATTGTCCGATCCAACTCCTCAAATGATGAGACAAGGCACATTCTCGAGGTTGTAACTTATTGTTAGTCACAAATTTTTCCTGCAAAATACTGAATCCCAGACTTAGCGGAGGTGTTATCATATTAGGGTCTCAAAGCTGCTAAGATTATTTTTCAACTTATTCACACAACTAGTAACCGAACTCTTCTTTCCAGGTGCAAGATTTGAAGTATGCCACTTTAGCAACTGTATCACGTTGTGGAATGGTTTGGTTTAGTGAAGATGTCCTTTCAACTGAAATGATTTTTGATAACTATCTCTCTCGCCTTCGAAATATTCCTTTAGAAGAAGCTGATGACGACAGTTTTGGAAGTTTTGTGGGTCAAAAGTCAACAGAACCATTACCTGAGGATGAAATATCTCCGTCTATGCAAGTAAGTTTTACTTTTAACAAATTTTTGACTCCAGTGATCATCTTTTTTTTTCGCACCATGAACTTCTTGAACACAGGAGTGCCACAAAATCAATGTCCCTCCCTCTCTCTATGATCTCTATTTCACCTCTATTCTCCATAAACATGCATACACTGTACACTATTGGATATCTTGTATTGCAAAGATTCAGAAAATTTGCTCTCCCAAAAAACGGTGCCAGCGCAAAACGCCGTTTTGCCAAGAAGAAACAAAAAACCACCATCAGTAAGAAATTGTAAAGAAAACCTTAGAAAAACGAAAATATCCCCAGTTTGCCAGGACAAAGCATACATAATAAAAATTCAATTTCTACATATAATAGTGCTCCAAAAAATGCAGTGAAAGCCGGGGTCAGTTTTGCAAACTTTGTATCGAACTCATCACCTAATGATGAGCTGGTGCAGCAATTACTTTTAACGATTGAGTCTTTCCTCATGCAGAGGTATATTATTGTTAATAATAAAAATGAGTTATTTTCTAACTGAAATAATAAGATAAGAGCACAAAAAATAATTTGGTATTAACACTTTTAAACTGATAAATCTGATTTTTTTATCTGATTGACGAGATGATTAACTCAACAAGTGTGGCCATTCTCCGACGGGCGGCCGCCGCGGCCATTTTTAGTGACCCGCGGACGCGTATTTTAATAAGAGTTCAAAATATACAACTTTGAGCTCGTTTTTCGTGGGTTAATATTATTCAAAAAAATCTGGGAAAATTCCTGTGCACTCAGTGCTTTCTCTAGTTTTCCGAATTGTAGGATTTAAACATTACAAAACAAGCTCATTGTAAGTTTACAATAAAAAAGAGTAGTTCTCTCAGCCCAAGTTTACTATCTATTTATATTGTTCTAGGTTCAATTGGATGTCGCTGCGATTCTGTCTTCACATTTTGCCCCAGATGGCTTAGTTGTGCGTTGCCTAGAGTACTCGATGAGTCAAGAACATATCATGGATTTCACACGATTGAGGGCTTTAAGTGCTCTTTTCTCCATGCTCAATCAAAGTGTTAGGTTTGTATCCTCTTTTGAATCTCATTTTTCGTATGAGCCGTTTGCCCTTCTGTAGACTTTCTTTTCTTCCCACTTTAGTGTGCTAGAAAGGGTTCTTTATGTTCCTTCCCTCTCCCTCTTTTTTCATTTACATCCAATTAAAATAGTTTCCAAGCCCGAAAATTTTCAATTTTTATGTGTTTCTTTTTTTTCATTAGGAATGTCCTAGAGCACAATCGCTCCCATTCAGACTTCCCCCTCTCACATGATGTCCTTGAAAGGTACATTCCAAAATGTCTAGTGTATGCTGTACTGTGGTGTTTCGCAGGCGATGCCAAACTTAAAGTCCGATCTGATCTAGGTGATTTCATCAGGTCAGTCACAACTACGCCACTCCCACCTGGGTCCATCATTGATTATGAGGTAAGTTTTCACATATCTCAGCTTCGGTCGCTTCAGTTACAAAATTCATCCTTGAAATTTTTCTGCCTCAATTTCTTTATCCTTTTAATTCGAAATGTTTGAGTTGTATAACTAATGACATGGGTCATTCCATGTCAACTCAACCAGGCTCGGTACCCGACCCCCTTCCATGTGGCCAAAAATTGGTACACAGGACCTCTACATCATTCTAAAAGACTACTTTGAAGGGTTTTCCCATCCGACGCCCCGTTCGCTAGATATCGACCCCCAAAGATGGGGAGAATTTTAGCAGTATTCAAAAAAGCCCATTTTAGTGTCTCATTTTCTCGACTTCCCTCTCTTTGACTCTCCATAGGGAGACTCTGTATCAATCCATCATACTTTGAAAGAGTGTTTCTGGACCAATTTTTTTTTTGTAAATTCTAAATATGCCATCAAAATTGAGCTAAAAATTGTCTAAATGGCTGTAATTTAGGGTTTTTTAAAAATTCCGATTTTTCAACATTCAATGTTCCATCTGAATTATCCAAAAAACAGTTTCTCCGATTTTCGATTTTTTTTTCTACTTCTAGTTTAGGATGTGTTCTTTCGGATGATATACTTTCTTTAACCACCATCGGACAGTCAAAAGTTCAAATTGGTCAAAAAAAGTCGAAAATTTATATTAAAAAAAGACGATTTTTTACACATTAGCCGTAGTATGTCAAAAATATATACTTCAAGTATCGATATTTTTTTTTCCAGTTCAACCTCATCATGTGTAGAATCGATTCATTAACATTTAGAGATACTCATCGATCGATTAACCACCTTAAGATAATAAAAATCGGCCGGAAATGCTCCAAAATAACGGAAAAAGACAACTTTTGGCACGGTAATCGGTGTATCTCGCAAGGAATCGCTGCCATTTCTGATTTTCTTTCTTTACTTCATCCTGAAGTATACACTTTCAAGTACTCAGCACTATTAAATGTGCATTGATGGGTAAAGGATCCGAATGGAAATGGAAATTGATTGGAAATGCTCCAAAATGGCGGATAAAGACAATTTTTCGCACGGTAATCGATGTATCTCGCGAGGAGTCGCTGTTGAGGAGAGTTTTTCTCCAGTCCAGCATATGTTTTTGTGTTCACTCACAGAGATTATTGAAGGTTCTTTCAATACTCTGTGCTCATTTAGCCCGAGTTTTTTAACCTTGTTTGACTGATTACTTTCAAGAAACAACTTTAGTGGAATGTGAGAACTGTATCGCCATTACTTTTCGAACTTTTCTTGCTCATCATGAACAAGACTCCTAATATCATAAATGTATATCTGAAGGATGGTGATTGACCACTCCTTTATGACAATGGCTGCCTTTTCTGTATATTTTTACTCTTATCTTGAAAAACAAAAAAATTTACATTTTTTAGGTCAGCATTCCAAGTGAATGGACGCCGTGGTCAAATCGTGTCCCGCAAATTGAAGTTGACACTCAGAAAGTTGCTGCACCTGATGTGGTTGTTCCAACCCTGGACACAGTCCGTCATGAATCGCTGTTGTATACTTGGTTGGCAGAACATAAACCGCTAGGTAATTGTGTCCGCACTATATAATTTGGTCCTCCCGTGACATTGACGATACTTTTTTTTACTTAATTTCAAATGTGTAATGAAGTTTAACACGTTGGCAGCCACGGAGTTTCAGCACTTATTTCCTACTAGGCTACAGGAAAATGGGATTAAAATGACAATGGTTTCCTCTGTTGGACATTTAGCGGTACTGGTTGTTCACTCAAATACTGAGAGATAGTGCATTTCATGTGGCTCAGCTGTTAAGAGATAATTGGCCATTCGAGCGCCGGTTATTTTCAACCGAATTAATCATAACGAAGGTATACTTTTCCCCTATCCAAGCACCCAAAATCGACAAAACACTCCATTCTGTTTCAGTTTTAACCGGAAGCTAGAAAGAAAACATTGCTCTTGCAATATTCGACTTTCATTGGTCCAATTGCCTCCCATCCTCTGCCTCCTAATCAGAGCCTAGGTTGCGATATAAGATCAATGAGAGTCGAATATCGCTTTATCAGCATTTTCTTTCGAACTTTCCGTCAAGACCGACATGGAACGAAAGGAACGGAAAAAGGAATGGATCATTTTGTTGATTTTGGATGTTCTGTAGTGAAAAAGCACTCCTTTGTTTCACTCATCTTGGTTTTCAACAATTGCTTGGCCCCTGCAGAACTCATTGAAATCGGTCAAATTGACCGGCTTAGCAGGCACTGTATTGAGGAAACGAAAAATATGACTGTGCAAGCTTTGTTTTTTTCGTTTGAGCATCATTCCGTGTCAAGTCATCAACAAAAATTGGAAAATGGCACCTGTTAACTTAGATTTTTACTCTTTTTACATGGTCTATAGATTAATGTAAGAGAAAATACAAATTTTTAGTTTCTGATGACCAATATTTTTTGAGAAAAAAGGTATTGAAGTCTTATCACCGTTTGTAAAAGTGCTTTCTCTAGACTCTAAAAGCAGCAACGTTTTACTTTCGAAAAAGCCTCATAATTTTTTGAGTTCTGAAGATTTTAAACTGAAATTCTGCATTTCCCTTATAGGACAGCTTCACAGATGCGAACATCACAAACTACTAAACAACGATAGCTCTTTCAACATTTGTCTTGTTTTGACTTCCTGTTTGAGGAGTGCACCCTAAAATACCTTAACTTAAAGCTCTGATAAAATTGTACCTAATATCTTATGTTTTTCAACAGTTTTATGCGGTCCCCCTGGTTCTGGTAAAACAATGACTCTATTCTCGGCTTTACGAGCTCTTCCTGACATGGAAGTGGTTGGTCTTAACTTTTCTTCAGCTACAACACCAGAACTGTTACTCAAAACATTTGATCACTATTGTGAATATAGGAAAACCCCTAATGGTGTAATACTTTCGCCGGTGCAGGTATGACATTTGCTACTTTTGCTAATTGATCTGAATTTCCAATGAGTTATTTATTTTTGTTGGCTTTCAAATCCATAATTCATTTAATTAAGTTGGTTGGATTTTAGTTCAATCTAACTCTTTGCAAAGGAAATATTTTAGAGACAATCCTCTTACCTTCCCTCTTCTTTTTCTTCGAATTCAAGTCATTAATGTGATAATGTGATTAAAACGCAGCTCTTTCCTTTCCTTCTTTACTACTACCAACTTTTGACCTGCCAAGTATAGACCAAGAGCTGGCTGAATCCTAGACACTTTGAAGGATATAAAATTGCAACTTATCGTAAGTGAAGGTCTTAATGGCAAGGGAGAAGGAATTGGCGGTCTGCTGGATCAAAGCCGTCGGAATCAGCAATAAAACATGTTCAAACTTCTAGCAAAATGTTTAGCATTTCTAATAAAAACCAATATAATAAAAGTTTCTGGGATCCATCCAACAACTTGTCAAAATAATCAGTTCTGCCCCAATTTTCTTTTAAAAATTGTCTTTGTAAGGTGTAGTTTTTAAAAGCCTTGTGCCAATAAAAAAGTGTCAATCACAACTTGTTTGTTTCAGCTTGGGAAATGGCTCATTCTGTTTTGTGATGAAATGAATCTACCAGACATGGATCAATACGGAACGCAGCGAGTGATTTCTTTCTTACGACAACTAGTTGAACATGGTGGCTTCTACCGACCAGGAGATCAAGCATGGGTATCGCTTGAGCGGATCCAGTTTGTTGGAGCTTGCAATCCACCAACTGACCCTGGCCGCAAACCTCTCTCGCATCGATTCCTACGTCATGTTCCAGTAATATATGTTGACTATCCTGGAGAAACCTCCCTTAAACAGGTGAGAGATGAAGTTATGATTGGAATAATTCGAGACAAATCCTAACTTTTCAAGCACCTCTATTGTGACCTCAGTGTATTCTATGCAGATTCTGTGTTAATTCAAGAATTAAAGCATATTTCCATGACGTACCTATCATCTAATTCTAAGTTTTAGGAAAGTGCTTTTGTACATCATTATCTCTGAAACTTTCTATCTGGAAGATATTGGAGGGGTTTTTTAAGTTCTTCGCATCAAACTGTATCAGCAGCATTCGCCAAAAATTCATAAAAATTATTTTTCGCCACTGAAAGTTTTGGTATCTCATTAATACGTCTAGCAACATGAGTTTACTTTTTTCTCTGAGATCAAAAACGAACAGAGTGTTTAAAATTCCATCTTAATTTCCATTCACCCTTTTAGCATCAAGATCCACAACTCCCGTCCAAACTAACAATGGCACCAGATGGGACCCTGGTTCTTGAGGACACTTCGAGTTTCTCTCCTTTTTAATGGCATGTCAGTATTCTGTCTTAAATATGCCAGAGTTGTCGTTTGTTTTTTCACTGACATATAGCGCTTATCTAAAGCTGCAATATATTCACATCTTGGGGTCCCAGAGCATAGAGGGGTTAGCTTATCCGTGATGCAATGTTGCAAGCATATTGGCTCATCCGCCATTAAATATTGCCGCAATATTATAAAGATGCTTTATTCTCTTAATGATGGGGGACTGAAGCTTTTAGGATAAGTGGTTTTGGAAATAATGCTTGTATAAAAGTCCTAGTTTTTACCCAAGTAAGTAATGCCTAAAATGTTTAAACTTAACCCTGAATCACCTGATACACATATCTGTCAATTGTGCTCTTTTTTTTAAATTTGTTGTTTGTTACAATCTGTAAATGTCCTCTTGATTTTAGATTTATGGCACATTTAGTCGTGCCATGTTGAGAATGATACCGTCATTGCGAACTTATGCAGAACCACTAACAAATGCCATGGTGGAATTTTATCTCGCATCCCAAGAACGTTTCACACAAGATATGCAACCTCATTATGTTTACTCACCTCGAGAAATGACAAGATGGGTCCGTGGTATCTGTGAAGCAATACGGTGAGTTTGTGATGTTCGTTGTTCTTCTCCTGTCTTTATACACATCATTAGGTAGTTGAAGCTCCTAAAAGACAAAGTACGCATCATACGCAATTTTTATATTAAAATTTTCCTACCAAGTCTTTCAAATCAGCTAATGCTTTAATGTTTAACCTGGATTTCATTAATTTACATGTTTAGTCCAGTACCAATAGGAGTTTATGAATGCAAGAAAGAGGTCAGAAAAGGTTAAAGCTGATTCTTATGTATTTTCGGTCGCTGAATCCGAATTTGATGCTTCCCACCAAATCCGCCTTGTGCGTTTTCCGGAAAAGCCGGAAAACTGCCGAAAATCACGTTTTTACGCGCTTTTCCGGGAATAAGTAGCTTAATATTCGTCGGAGCGTAAAATTAGTTTTTAGCCAAGTTGTAGCCGAGTAAATTGCCGACAACATTGAAAGGAACAAGTTTTCGCTAGGACTTAAATTGAAGCCACCAGAGCCCGCGAAAGTTCGAAATCGGCCAAAAATCACGTTTTCTCGCGATTTTCCGGCCATAACTCCCTTCATTGACATTTAATCGAAAAAGTCAAGAGAAATGGTTTTAGGTAATCAAATTTTGAACAAATGTCAATGTGACATTTTTTGGTATGATTCACTTATCGGCCGCTAGAGCGCGCAGAAGTGAAAAAAACCCCTAGAGGTAGGCAATTTCGTCGATTTTCTGCTCAAATGCGATGAAATTAGCAGCATATGTTGAAAAATACTGGCGTATCATGACAGATATGTATATTCTATTAGCGTATCTCGTTTATTACTTGTCATAGAGCTTTTGTTCCGCTCGCAACTTTGACGAATGAATCTGTACCATTGCATGGAGGATGAAATCTGTGTACACAAGGTCGCAAATAAAATCAGCGTACATCGATTTTTTTGCTCTCGTCCAACTTGGAACCTAGAGGTATACATATCATCCTCAGTTTTGACCATATCTCTGTGGCCAGGCCGAAACAGGTGTGGTCACTCGTATAATGCCGGGAAAGCCCTCTTTAAACTCGCGGAGTGCTGCAATACAATCGCAGGTAGAGGAGCGCGCGGGCATGTTTTAACGGTGGGTTGTGGCGGTCGCGATGAGTGAAAAGTGAAAAGGCAGCCATGGTCGGGGGAGAAGGAGAGCTAGAAAGGGTGAAAACATTCATTGTACATCATGCAAAATCTAACATCTTGCCTAGATATTTCGGCCAGCCTCTACTAATACGCATGTTTGAGGGTATTAAGTCAAAAAATGTGGCACTGGGAATCTGAGACTGATCGGCTCCTAATTTTCAGTCTTATGTCAAATCTCTGTTTTTCAACATACTTCATCTCAAGCTTAAGTGCACGTGTGAATTCAGTAGATCCTTGAGTTTTTCACTAACTTGAATTATTTTTGTCAGAATTTTTCGTTAATTTACGCGCCATATCGATAATACGTGATGAGTTTGTATCTCATTTGTGAGAAAGCACTTGAAACGGCCAGACTAGTGTTGTTAGGAGAGAAAAGGCTTGCCCTCATTTTGGATAGCAGGTATTAGAAAAAAAGGTAAAAAAATACGAGCTATTACCTCCCTCGCTACAGTGACAGAGCAATAAAAATGTCGAAAAGAATATGAGAATGAAGAGCAATAAAAATGTCGAAAAGAATATGAGAATGAAGAGCAATAAAAATGTCGAAAAGAATATGAGAATGAAAAATCAATCGTTGCTCATTTGAAGCGGATGCTAAAAATTCAGGAACGATCTATCAGGCTGAGACAAGTGCGCTCCGATGAGCCAGAATTTGACTTTAAGCGATGTTGCTCATTTTGTGGTGAAAGTATTCCTGCTGATGTAAAGCTAAAAAACAATAAACTTCAATTGCATGGACGTGTAATTGTGATTAATGTAACTGCATTAAATATGCGGGATCGGTTATTGTGTGCTATGCATACAACGAATCCTTGGTGCTCAGCTATGCTGCGTCAAGATTACGCAAGGTGAAGGATTTAGTTGCAGAGGAAGCCAGGTATCATTCACATCGTAATTTAAAGTTTATAAGATTGTCTTTCCCTGTGACTAAATCGGAGACTTGACGTAAGAAAGGGCCGTATGAAGAGCTTATTTCCGAGGCCATGCGACAGATTTTTGATTACTTGGCTTTATACTCAAATGAGTGTCAATTCATGTTGACAGACTTAATTGGCGAATTTAAGGGAGAATATAAACCTGATTTAAGAACTGTTAAACATGAGTTGATGACAAATTATGAAAGTGACATCATTTTATCAAGATCTTGGGGAGAGTCTTCTATGGTTTATTTCAGAAATATTGGTTTTCAAGTCCTTTTCCGGACGCATTTTACCCGAATAAAAGTAACGATGAACACGATGCCACCTTAATTTCTGGAGACATTCGGATTAAAATCTACAAAACGCAAAAATATTTTCCCATCAATAATTTCCTGGGGAATGCCTAATGGATTGTCCCCTGATGGCATTTTAACATTTTTAGAAACTGTCATTGTGAAACACAGAAAAGAAGAGTCTTGGAGGAAAAAATGTATATGTTTTGCTCATTGCATCATAACGGCGGCACGGCCGAAATCGTTTATATCTTCCATTGAACTTGGGATTTCTTCATTTATTTATTTTTTCTTTTTTTAAAAAAAAATTGTTTCTCGGTAACTCATTGACACGCTTGAGTCACTAGGAATATCCCGCGTCTTATCGAATAACCGTTGTCAAAAATTTCTCAAAAATAAGGATGAGGGAAGGATGTTTATGAATGTTTTCCGGACCAAGGCTTAATATTTCGCTGAAATATGATTCTCACGTGTGACCTAATATTATGATTGATCAAAATATCCGAAATTGACATCAAATCCACTGTTCTCTCCTAACCCTGGAATTATTCTTCAGAATTAAAAAAAAAAAGAAAGTTCTCAAGATTCAATATTATGTATATACGCAGCCGTAGCGCTTGCAGTAAGGTGGATGGGGGTGAAGTTGGGAGCTCTATTTTATGAAAAATAATTCCTTAAATCATCTGTTTTACAAATATACATCGGTTTTGAATTTACAGCGTATTAACAGTGAATCAATAGTTGATATCATCGCATTTGAGCAGAAAATCGACGAAATTGCCTACCTCTAGGGGTTTTTTTCACTTCTGCGCGCTCTAGCGGCCGATAAGTGAATCATACCAAAAAATGTCACATTGACATTTGTTCAAAATTTGATTACCTAAAACCATTTCTCTTGACTTTTTCGATTAAATGTCAATGAAGGGAGTTATGGCCGGAAAATCGCGAGAAAACGTGATTTTTGGCCGATTTCGAACTTTCGCGGGCTCTGGTGGCTTCAATTTAAGTCCTAGCGAAAACTTGTTCCTTTCAATGTTGTCGGCAATTTACTCGGCTACAACTTGGCTAAAAACTAATTTTACGCTCCGACGAATATTAAGCTACTTATTCCCGGAAAAGCGCGTAAAAACGTGATTTTCGGCAGTTTTCCGGCTTTTCCGGAAAACGCACTAGGCGGATTTGGTGGGAAGCATCAAATTCGGATTCAGCGACCAAAAATACATAAGAATCAGCTTTAACCTCTTCTGACCTCTTTCTTGCATTCATACCCCCCTTTTTAGATCTGTTGGTACTGCGGGCCGATTATTGAAATTTAAACCAGCCCGATAAGACATCGAATTGCGATATATTGCATGGTTAAGATAGGGCTATGTCTTGTCGTAAGCGGCGACATAGAGTCGATGACGTTTCAATAATCGCCCCGCTGGACTAGTTCCTGGAGGTCTTTAAAACTGAGTAATTTACGATGTAACCTCAAAAAAGTGTTACTGCTCAGTGCTGTTTTTTTCGTAAGTGAAAGTCGTGTAAAGTCACAAGAGTAATTGCCGAAGCCTCTTAAAATCCACTATTTATGTTTTAATTTTCAATCATTGCCAACTTGCTTCAATTTTATGTAATTAGTAACTCAAATTTCTTGGTTTTTTTTTGTACAAAATTTGACAAACCTAAATTTATGGTAAGAAGATGCTCTAAGCTTCTTTTTTTTGTCCCTGATTTTGCATTTGTTTGAAAAGAACACAAAAAAACCCGGAGTAGTTAACTGAATACTTCCATGAAATCTAATTAATGAGTCATGATTAATCCACTTTATTTTTTGCAGCCCTCTGGAGAATCTTTCAGTAGAAGGCCTTGTACGTCTCTGGGCTCATGAGGCATTACGTCTCTTCCAGGACCGCTTGGTGGATGATACGGAACGTCGTTGGACCAATGAAAACATTGATGTGGTCGCGCTCAAGCACTTTCCTAGTGTCAGCAAAGAAGAAGCCCTGGCTAGGCCAATCCTATTCAGTAACTGGTTGTCTAAAGACTATGTTCCCGTTGATCGGAAGCAATTACGAGATTATGTCAAAGCACGGCTTAAAGTTTTCTACGATGAGGAGCTTGATGTCCCATTGGTGTTGTTTGATGAAGTTTTGGATCATGTGCTGAGGATAGACAGAATCTTCCGTCAACCACAGGGACACTTGTTGCTCATAGGAGTGTCTGGAGCTGGTAAAACAACATTGTCACGGTTTGTGGCTTTTATGAACGGCCTGTCTGTTTTCCAGATTAGGGTAGGTATCTTAAGTAAACTCACTTATTTGCCCTATCCATTTATCATACCTCCTTAAGGTGAGGTTCTTTACAAGATTTTTACAAGCCAAAAGTAGTTTTTTTAAGTTGTCTGTGACTCGTCAGTCTCCCTGCAGGGTCGTTAAGTTACACCTCTGCGAGGGGATTTGAAAAAAGAATATAAGTAGAAACTCTCTTTTGTTCAAGAGCTAAGGAAGAACCTCCTCCTCCCTCCTTAGCACCGCAGTCCAAAATTTTTTGGGGGTCTGAAATCTTGTGGAAAGACATCTTATATTAAGCAAAATTCATTTTCCTAGTTTCAAGGAATCCTGAGGAGGGGGGAGGAGGGCAAATAACGGGGTATTTTCAATTGGCAAATTTCAAAATTGAACTTAAAGTTTTTCCTTTTTCCAGGCACACAACAAATACACAGCTGAAGATTTTGATGAAGATTTGCGCTCTGTCCTCAGACGTTCTGGGTGCAAGAATGAGAAAATAGCATTCATTTTGGATGAGTCTAATGTTCTAGAATCAGGCTTTCTTGAAAGAATGAATACATTGTTAGCAAATGGTGAAGTGCCTGGATTATTTGAAGGTAAAGTTCTTGAAGAATGTTATTCCACCTTCTTTTCTCTTAATCAAAATGTAATTTTTGTACTGAGCACTATTTTCTTGTTGCATTCATTTTGCAAAACTTTAACTGATTTTTTAACTTTCTGTAGGAGATGAGTATACAACTTTAATGACACAGTGCAAAGAAGGAGCTCAGAGAGAAGGTCTAATGTTAGATTCAAATGAGGAACTCTACAAATGGTTCACAGGTCAAGTCATGAAGAATCTCCATGTAGTATTCACAATGAATCCATCCTCCGAGGGATTAAAAGATCGTGCAGCTACCTCACCTGCACTTTTTAACAGATGTGTTCTCAACTGGTTTGGCGATTGGTCTGATAGTGCACTTTATCAAGTATGTACCCCATTAAAAACTGATGTATACACTTATAGAATTTTCCGAAGTTTATGCAATCATGGTCATGGTGTTTTTGAGCACATCCAGAAGCTATCAATGCACTTATGGAAATATAAATCTAAGTCTCCATCATTAATTTAACTGACGTGTGACAAGAGTAGGAATTTCGTTTTGCTCATGGAAGAAATCCTCTCTAGGACTTAAACTAGCTTTAGCTTGCTGCACTTGCTTGTGCAGCGAGCTACGATCTTCGCCCCTTGAAGCACTCATCACTCACTTTGCAAGCTAGATTTTGTTTTGTTATACTTTTTTCTTTAAATCATTTAAATATAACATGACTGCTACAAACTGGCATTAACTATGTTTATTTTGATCTACAGGTAATCAGATCAATGAAGAAGGGATTAAATATAAACTAGTTGTTGGCAGACACTTAACTGAATCGTACCCATTTATATTATCACTGTGGATTGTAAATCCTGTATCATGCGTTTTGAGTTTGACTGTATTGAATAAACAACGAAGCCAAGGAAGGGAGAAAAGAGGGAAAGAAAAGAGTGGGCTGTCGATCTATGTTAATTGTGAGGGGGGGATGGCGTGAAACATGAAAGACAAAACAAGCGATCTATCTACATGAAGTATTTTTTCATAAATCTAGAAAAGTTCTACAGGAAAAATAATACAAAGTAGAAATTGATCAGAAACTTAATCCAATTATGAAAATTCCTATTCAGGTTGACTAACATCTGGAAAAACCAGGAATTGTTGGGGAATTTTGAGTGATAGAGAAAAGTCAGGGAATTTTTGCCGCGGTCAAAGAATTTTCGTAGGGCATGTCATGAATGTACGTAACGTACGCAGTTCCGTCAGTTCCATCCCTCCTTGACGTTGCAGCAGTGTTTCACGATCGGTGGTTCCGTCTGACTTCATTGGGTTTCCTACATTTTTTGCGAGTCTGGCGTCCGGTCTTTCTCTCCTCAACTCGTACGTCATCATGGCACAAAACGTAAACATGACTATAAACATCTTTGACATCAAAGCTCTTGATTGTTAGATGTGTCTGCAGTCTTTGGTTTTCCAATTTTTGCAACTGAAAACATATTTCTCCAAATTCAGTGCTCTACATTTTCATCTATATGGCTTGTATTTTCTCTCGCCAAAATTTTGCAACGTCTGCTGCCAACCAAAACCAAAAAACCAAAAGTTTTGATTACATCTTCAAATCAAGAACCTCTATTTAAAACAAATCTGAAGTAGTTATAAAGCATCATGTTGTTATCATTCAAAGTTATAATTCTAATAATTATTCAGTGGAGTTATTGTCCTTTATTTCAACTCAGGTTGGTTTTGAGTTCACGAATAAGCTGGATTTAGATGGTTCAACGAATTGGAAGGCTCCAGACTTCTTTCCTGCTGCTTGTAATCTCGTATCAAACACCCCAACGCATAGAGATGCTGTCATCAATGCTTGTGTCTACGTTCACCAAACTCTTCATAGAGCAAATGCTCGTGTTGCTAAAAGAGGAGGTCGCACAATGGCTATCACTCCCAGGTATGCCTGCCTTTATTTCACCATCATATCATTTATGCCTCACTATCATTTACCAATGCAAGATGGCTATTAAACTCTTAAGATACCAAGCTTTATTCAACTTATTAATTTTAATGGAACAGAGAATGATCAACTCTGCTGTCAGAGGAGAAACTTTTCAAAAAATGAAACTTTCTACTCTGATGTTTTCTTCCTAAAGAGAGTGCTCAGAATTCTAGGTGAAAAAAAGCTGGAAAATACAGGAAATGAAGTAACTTAGAAAGCTAGACCGGTACCGGTATACACCATGGTGTCTAGTTTTTTAAAAACCGGGAAAACCCGGGATTCATCAGGGAATGAAACTTTACCGGAAAAATCAGGGAATCTGTTCCAGAAACCGGGAATCTCTTCTCCAACCACCCATGGATCATTTTGTTTTCAAATTTGGCGGTCTAATCTGACATGCGCCAAAGAAATGGCTGTAAGATTAATTAAAAGCTATATTCATATCTGAAACTCTGGAAAATGATATTCCTTTCCTCAAGAAAATCCCGGGAAAGTGGAGAAAACTTCGGTTTCTCATCAGGGAATGAGCTCCTGAAAACGAGGGAAAATCAGGGAAAAATCGGGGAATGAGCTTTGCCTAGAAAACTAGACACCATGGTATACACTCAAAAATGGCTCTACACTTTGGGCGTAAGTATATACAATGAGCACCATGGAATTAAAACTGCCAAAGAGTCGGCTCCTTTGTTGGCCCATCAGATTTTGGAAGAGTAATTTTGTATCCTACTCCATCTGAACTTCTCTCTGAATTGTTTGTATTTGTTATTGTGCCCCTTTGTTTGACTGTTTTCATGTGCATCTCTCTCCTCAGGGAGAGGCCTCTGAAAGTCGGGAAAAACAACAAATATATCAGGATTCGAAAATTCGCCCAGTCAGTAGCAAGGTTTACCTTGTTAACATTGTGATTGTAGGTTTTACAGTATATTTTTATGTGACATATGGCTTTGAATCCAAATTTTCAACTTCCTTCAGATTAGCGCATTGAATGACGTAGAATGTGGATCCTGTGTTACGGAACGCGTGACAGCTTTTGAATAAATGGCAAGGCACACTGATCGATGAGTGCAGAGCGCCAACCTCGCATCGCTGAGCTTGTGTGTCTAACTGCACATGCGCAGTAGCGACCCCCATGAATTTTTGTCGGATTTTAAGGCTCTTTTCTTGGTTGGTAATTAGTTCAGAAAAGTGAAACTTTGCAATCCGGCCATAAAATTATATGTTCTACAACTTTTTTGTCCAGTGCTTTTGTCTGAAAATAGACTCAGAATGATTTATTTGATAAAAAACAAGCGCTCAAATAAATTATCCATCGCTTCTCGGCAGTCTCTTCAAGTGCTTGGGACACACGCTCTCTCCCCCTCCCCGCACGCCCGTCATGGAGCTCCGAGAAAGTTGGTCTTGCTTTGCCTGTACAAAACTGAGCCGGATGTACGGTCTATGTACTTTAATGTCTTTGAGAGTATCCCTGGAGAATGTCGATGATCTTGCAAAAGATTTCCAAATTTTCCCTGCCAAAATTTCAATTTTCACCCGGTCACTTGCCAGGAAAGCATTTATAACAGTCAAAAATAATTTATTTTTGACTCTAATTATAATTTTTGGAACTTCTTGGCTTTGTTTTCCCTGCAAAATGGTGTGAACCCAGCACCATTTCTCTACCTTGTTACATACAGTTCCGGCCACCTCTCAGCGTTTTTTGTCTCATTTGTTCGCACAGTTTGGGGATATGTGTTTTTTCCTGTTCAGGAGCGAACGGTTGAGTTTAGATGCGTTTGCATCTCCAACCAGCCTGTTAATCATTATTTTGGGTTTTCCTTGTTTTGTCATGAGAGTTGTTCAGCAGCGATGGTAGATGGCGCGAAGATCACACTTTTGTGTCATGCATTCATGATGGCGTCTTAATGCTATCTTGGATTTTGCAGGATGCTAAGTTGGGTTCACTGACAAGTGTGATCTGCTGATGAGGTCTTAAAAGACCCAAACCGGTATAGATCTCTCGGCGTGACTTCAATTTAATATTACAATGCAAACTGCCTGAGCTGAACACTCTTCCCCCTCAGTTTTGTACTGGTACTCTTTAGAGTTAAAACATTTATTTTTGACTCCAATTATAATTTTTGGAACTTCTTGGCTTTGTTTTCCCCTGCACCAGGAGCACCTTGGAGAAATGGTGTGGACCTAGCACCACTTCTCCATCTTGGTAGGTGTAATGTGCACTGTACTACAGTATCAGCGCTGCAGTGTACCGCCATACTAAATGCAGGCATAAGGTATCATAGGATTCTATTATTCATTTGATGGGGAGCAAATTTCTTAAATCTAGAAATTGCCTTATTAAGAGTTTTTTTTGTGGCCAAAAAGCCTCTTAATGTTGCCAACTTTACAAGAAAATTTCTGTGTCTTTTTTTTCTCCATTTTTCTACACAATGTACAATTATGTATTCTACTGGCTCTGGTTGATTAAAAGCTTTATTAAATTTTGATGTAATAAATGGCATTGATACACAAGATTTAAGAGTTTCTATGGGTACCGTACCTTTGGCTGAAGCTATTACTTTAGTCAGAATTTTTACGAATTCATTTATCCATATTTTTTCTATTCTGTTAGCAGATCGAAGTATTAATTTTTTTTTCTCTTGAAAAAAACATATGATGGAAGCATTTTCAGAATTTTTTTAAGTTTAAATATCTTTCTGTTTTATGACAAGATCGATAAAAATCGTTGTTGTACCCATCAAAATTTTTCTATACGTGGTTATTAATTTTTTTGATAAGTTATTTATTTATTGTTTCCTTGTTTTGTCAGACATTATCTGGATTTCATCAATCACTTCGTGAAATTACACCGTGAAAAGTGCTCAGAGTTGGAAGAGCAGCAACTTCATCTAAATGTTGGTCTCAGTAAAATTGCAGAAACTGTGGAGCAAGTCGAAGAAATGCAGAAATCTCTGGCTGTTAAATCTCGGGTACATTAGTTACTCAACTCTCTTTTTCTAGAAAAACAAAAAATGCATCCATTGTGTGGGGCAGCTAGCTTCAGAACAAATTTAATCTTTTCTCTAATGGACCACATGACAACCTACGAACTAAAGCATTATGATATATGTTTCCTCCTCAAAATTTCAGGTAGAGCATGATTCGGGTGACAAAAATTGTGTTAAGTAATTCCAAAGTAAGATATTTACGTTTTCAGTCAACATTTGTTATGGGAAATTTGAATTACCCGTTCACAAAGAAAACAAATCTCCACCAGAGTCAAATCGAGCTTTACAACCGTTGTGGCGGACTTCTTAATCAAGCAGTGTTCCCCCTCTACCCTGTGTTGTTTAAAGTGTAAACAACAAGTAAGAACTGAGCGGATGCGCAAAGATTGAGGCAATCATTTATTTATGCCACGGAGACTATTACGGCACCGTTCAGTGTACGATTTGACTCATGTAGAGTTTCAAGTTTTCATGAGCAGGAGGTTTGAATTTCATCAAAAACGTCAAATATCTCAGTTAGGAGTTTATTTCAGCAATTTTCGTCGCTCGGATTGTGCTCCACATGAAATTTCAAATAGGATATACTTATCCGAATTTAATTCTTATCTTGTCTGCTGGTCCATTATTAACATCATGTGCTTTTTTCGTTCACATCCGTGCCTTACCCACTCATTTACTTCATGTCTTACCAACTGACTTTCAGAATCACAAGCTGAATAAAATTCAAATTGATTGGCTGTAAAACTGAAAAATTGGAGATTTTGGAAAGAACTTGTAGCCAACATCGAGGAGTTAGGATCCCGAAATAAGATCCTTCACTGTTTTCTATATTTTTGACAGTGTGTACCGAACTCATTTATACGTTTAAAAACGAAGAAACTTTTTCTCTTGCAACTATCAGGTTTGTAGATCTCAATTAATGAATTATTTAACGCTTATTTTCAGGAACTTCAAGCCAAGAATGAAGCAGCCAATGCAAAATTGAAACAAATGGTGAAAGATCAGCAGGAGGCAGAACAGAAAAAAGTCCAATCGCAAGAAATTCAGTCAGAGATTGAGAAGCAAACAGTAGAAATTGCTCAGAAACGAGAATTTGTCATGGCAGATCTTGCTCAAGTAGAACCAGCTGTGATTGAAGCTCAACAAGGTAGAATATTGAAAGAATCAGTACATTGAAACTTTGTATCCTGGCATTGGTTAATTTTTAAACTTAAGACGGAAGGAAGGTTGCCAAAAAAGATGCTTGAGGTTTCTTCAGGGAGGGAACAGCGGAGATGCCCAGTAAATGAGTAGTGACAGGGAATTTTACAAGAAATAAGGCAGTGTGCCAACTCCCTAAAGGGCTGTGGGAGGCCAGGGTACCGTGGCACTAAGGTATCCCCCGTCTATTAAGTCTTCTGTCATACGCGGCGAGTTCAAAAAGTTACCGGACTGATTCCGCTCTGTCCTTAGAAATGGTCTAATCAAGCTCAACTAGAGCTCATTTGAAAGCTTATACTCTCACAAGTACAGTGGCTTTTAGTTTTTTTTGAAAAATATATATTAGTTTTTGTACAACGCCAATTCTACGGCGGGGTGTTTGACTTGCTCCGTAATTTTGTTAAGCTGACACTTTCAATTGTACTGGAATCTCTGCAATGGTAGTAAGAGCGTCTCTTCTAAAAATTGCACGAACTTTTTCTACATTTGTATCATTCAAAGAAGCCGCAGGTCGGTTGTCCGGATCTTACATCACCTTCCATTGCCGTCCTCCCCTTGAGGAGATGTGAACGCCACTTAAAACACTGACTTTGGCCCATTACATCTTCACCATGCACTTACTTAATCAGGTCAAAGCCTCCTCTGCAGGTTTTGGCAGATGCACATATCTTCTCATGTTCACTATTTGTCAATTTTAGGTAGCATCATTGCGGAAATCACATTGTCAAAGCAGAAACACACTGAACTGACTCAATCGCCGATGAAAATTGAAGTGAGGTCAGATTTGCATTATTAGGGATTTAGAACACCACTGATCAGCTAAAGTATAGTAGGTTATCTTGCGCAGGTGGGCAACATATAAAATTGATTCTTTTCAGCTACCTCATTGCACGCACTTGTCTCATCATCCACCTCACACTTAGGTATATGGATCTCGATGATTAAGTCCTCCAACATAAAATCGCCGAGCGTGTCAAACATGCTGCCGTAGGATTGAGTAGTACAAAAACCAATAGTTATTTTTCAGAAAACTAAAAACACTGTATACATGAGAGTATAAGCTACTAAATGAGCTCCAGTTGAGTTTGATCGGACCATTTTTAAGGTCAGGGCTGCATCAGTCCGGTAACTTTTTGAACAAACCACGTATAGCCCTTGCCTTTGACTACTGCTGATAGTTTTTTCCATCGATTCTCTTCCAACATCTTTAATTAATTTTTTAATGTCAAGGTCATGGGGAATGATTTTTGAACTCGTCTAAACGTGACCACTGAACCTTCCATTAACTCGTTTTGTTCAGGTCATCAAAATAACTTGTATTCACCTACCCTCTAAAACCACCCCTCACCCTGAAAATTTCAAGTCTAATATTGGGATGATTTTAGTAGGTTCATAAGCTATTCCTATTCTCACTGAATTTTTTAGTCGAAATCTACCTTTTCGCTTCCATTTCGGCTGAAATGCGTTTTTTTTTTTTTTTCTAAAACTAGTGTTGGTGTTCGATATTTTCACCACTAATCATCATTTTTTTTATGATACAGCTGTGAAGGAAATCAGAAAACAACAGTTGGTAGAAGTGCGATCAATGGCCAATCCACCTGCGGTTGTGAAACTAGCTCTAGAATCCATCTGTCTTCTACTTGGAGAGTCAGCAAACGACTGGAAAGCTATTCGAGCAGTTGTTATGAGAGAAAATTTTATAAATTCCATTGTTTCAAACTTCTACACCGAAAATATAACGTAAGCTGTTTATTGTTGAGTTGATTTTTTAAGAAAGAAGGTGTAAAACGCATTATGTATTCTGAACATATTCATTACTGTAACAAGCAAAGTGACCACAAGACTTGGCCATGAACTAGTCATCACAATTGAATGTTATCATTGACATGTTGCATGTCAGCATGTTTTTACGAGTTTGTTGCTGCGGCATCAGAAAAATATATATAATACGAAAGAAGGTAAACTTTGGTGACCAAAGGAATACTACAAGCGAAACTTAGAATCCGCAGTCAAAAAAAGCTTTCATTAATTGTCCATTAATCGTATTCATTTATCAAGCATTTTTATCGTTTGATCACTGCATCGAACAGCTGTGGAAATCAAGAAACTATAATCTTGTGTAAAAACTGCCCAAGGAAAACGGACAAAGTGGACAAGTTATTGGAGGGAAAGTCGTTTCCCTAAGTTCTCCCCAGAGTTTTGATGTTTCAACAATTTTTTTTAGTTAATCACTTGGCTAATGCTCTTGGATGAGTTAGTAGCTGGCATTTCCTTTCGTTTCTCCAAAATATCTTACCAGGGATCCTACCGGTCCTGGGCAATAATATTGAAAGTCACAAAGCTCCACCTAATTGGGCTGATTTTAATCCATTCAATTGATAAATTCAGAACTACAATGTAAAGTCCAGTTTAAGTTGTGTCAAAGAGGGTGTTCCAAGTTTGACTAGAAAATTCGTCAGTTTATTTTTTTTTATTTTCTTTTTTCTGCCTCAATTGGACTCCACTTTTCAATACTAAACTATATTCCATTCAATGAAACCTGAATCGATAAAATCAGGATTAAAATCTGTAAATAATGCATCAGTCTCGGCTGCGATGACCTGACCACTCACTTGACACTCTATTGTGCAGTCAAGAGAGGCCTGCATCCGTGTATTATGAAAAAAAGAGCAATACTCATCTTTTGTCCCTCTTTGGAAATCCTGTGCACTCGAACTGAATATTTTAGCCATTGAAAAATTACTACTTTGGCATGAACACTTAATTTCTCTGGAAAATTTTCAAGACATTGCACCAAAATTGCGTCCTATCATCATGATTTTAAGCTGATTTTCAGTATTTGCTTTAGAATTCTTGAAACTTTTTATCCACTTCAAATAATGAAAGTAGAACGGAATTTTCAATGTATAGGCATGAGAATTTTCATGTTTAAATACTAATTTTTCCACACCTGAAAAATTTCATCTGGGTTCCTGAAGTTTCTAAGAATTGATGAAAGATCTCTCACACGGAGTCACCACCAAAGAGACTGATGCTTTGTCACTTACAGATTTAAGTCCCCATTTTATCGGCTCAGGTTTCATGAAATGGACAAATTATTACTTCCACGTCATTCATGAAAGGACCTATCAGTAAAAAGAAGCTAATGGCACAAACGCTCCTAAAATGAGCCAGAATAGTTCCTTACTGCAAAATGAAATCCAATCGTTGTTGAAATAACAGTTTTGCTATTTAATGTAAATGTGGTCACTAAAATCGAATCCTTCTAAGTTACAGGGGTGTATAGTTAAATTATGTAACCTATCATTCTCATCTCTTTGATGTAGTAAAGTAATTATTCTCAACTTATTTGTAAATCATTCCAGAGATGAAGTTCGTGAAAAAATGCATTCAAGATACATGAGCAATCCGGACTATACTTTTGAAAAAGTCAACAGAGCAAGTATGGCCTGTGGTCCCATGGTCAAATGGGCTATTGCCCAGGTATTATTTTATTTTATTTTTGTACCCTCCAATCCAATACTTAAGTAGAAGTAGAAGTAGAAGGGGACGGTTCACAAGAATTTGCTTGAGAACATTTCCTTGCATTGTCGGGAGACTTCTTTCTATGTGCGGCTTTTGAGACTCAAGAGATAATGGTGCCCGATTTTTTTGATGCTATGGATCAGGTGACTGGTGTCAAAGGATGAGTTTGGGCCGACATGTCAACGTCCTTTATAATCAGTAGAGTAATGAGGTGTTTGAGAGATCCACCGGATGAAGCGTACCACGCAGTAGACATTCGGGACAAGACAATTGTAATTTTTTCAATTCTTTTTCATATTCGGCGGTTTTATGCCCTCGTAAAAATTTCTTTTTTCGTACTCAGGTCGTGCCATTACCACACCATCATGTAGTCACACCAAAAGGATACACCATTATAATTAGCCCATTTACTCAGTTGAAGTAAACCATTGGGTTGGTCTGGTTGATTAAACCAATGGACAGCTCATACTCTCACAGATATGGACCCCATGAATGTCATAAATCCTGTTTGGCTACATGCGATTATGAGAAGTATGAGCATGAGTTCTGAGACATTTCATCATTGAATACGTGGTTTCACATTTTCGGTTTGTCTATTAAATTTGTCAATGACTGATGCTATTACAGGAAGAAATTAGCTGAATAATTTTTAATCACATATCCAATAAAATTAATTTTTACTGTCCATTGTGCTGAAAATATGTATTTTAGTAAACTGTTAGAAATGAAAACAGCCTTTTTACAGCTCATTGGAATGCCTAAGCCTTGCATACGTAAGTTTTGATCGGGGAAAGTTATCCAACAATTACTCCAAAATCAGAGAATGGAAAAAAAAACAATAATGTAATTTAACCAACACCTGAGTTTAAGTAAGAATAATCGCTACTCTCTTTAATTACTTTTGGATGGAAAATCCACCAATATTTATGTTTCTTGCTTCAGGTGAGCTATGCAGACATGTTGAAAAAAGTTGAACCTTTGCGTGAAGAACTCCAGTCCCTGGAGATCCAAGCAAATGAAAACAAGGAGAAAGGTGAAGAGACTAAAGCCCTCATTGCTCAACTGGAGAAAAGTATTTCCTCGTACAAGGAAGAATATGCGCAACTTATTTCACAAGCACAGGCTATTAAGTCTGATCTTGAAAACGTTCAAGCCAAGGTAAGAGACTGTTAGGAGAAAGAGATATCAAGAACAATAATAACCAAGAGTGAAACATAATCTTTTTTTTTTTTTTTTTGCACAGACTGTTGTTGATAGTTGGTAATTTAGAGCTGTACAATTAAGGATTTTTGAGTTCGATTTTGATTAACAAAATTAATCGTGTTTACGATCACGATCACTATCAAAATTGGGAAAAGATCATAATATTTTTGTCATCTTTATTCTTTTTTGCCTTTAGTGACCATAAACGAAGTTGAAGTGTATGAATTCTTGTAGAATTTTTTACTAGACTATCAAAGTTGATGGATCTCCTCAAATATTTTTATTCTCTTTTTTCTTGAGGTTGACTCATTGTCTTTTTTTCTAAAATATCCTTTCTGCCCAAAATAAAGTAGGCTTTTCTAGCTTCTTGGCTCTAAGAAAAAAGAGAGATCAAATACAGTAGATGGCAGAGACTTGATAATAATAATCTCATAAAATTCGCAAAGGGAATGTCCGTCCACTTGCAAACAACTTTTTCTCTTTTTTTAAATTTTAATTTGATGAACTGCCAGCCTCTTCCATTAAAAGTATCATGGAACACGCCTGATGCTTATGACTTATATTTCATAAAGTGGTTTTTTACTGCTGGATGCTAGCAGCGCGCTAGTGATGAATGAATACGGCAGGAATCTCAAATGAGAAATGCGCCGGGAAATTAAAAAATCCATGAAGTAAAATTAATTGACTCACCCGCGATTAATTTTTAATTTAATTTCGATTAAGATTGATAAAATTAATCGCGATTACAATTGATGCTCGATCAAGGGTTCAGCTCTAGACTAAATATCTATCAAACCTAATTTCCAGTGGTAATAATAAACCCACAGGTACAATTTTGATCAAGAAGTAAGTTCCCTCTCATGGACTTATATTTCCTTAAACTTTCCTAACAGTTACAGAACTTCAGTATTTCTGTTGTTAACTGTGTTAGGTGATTCACGAAAGCGGTACTGGTGCTCATAGAGAATTTTATGCTTTCTTAAAAATCGAGAAATTTGCTTCACCACTATTTTTTCATACAGGGTGTACCAAAAGTCCGTCCCACCCCTGCTAACTTTTGAACGAATTGAGCTAGGGTAATGAAACTTTGGGAATGTTCCTATCTCAAAGGGGACCATCTTTTGGGGGGGTCAAAATTTTGGTTCCCCCTCAGGGGGGGCGCGGGGGGCCCCCAACTTTTTTTTTTTCAAATGGCAACCCCTATCTTGTGATACCTCATTCGAAAGA